GATCATCAATGAGTTCCGCACCGAAGTGCTGAAGCTGCATCCTATCCGCAACGGGGACTCCGGTTCTGAGTTACTCTTGGACCTGAACATTCCTCACTCCTTCATGTGGAGTCCCAAGCTCGTACCCAAGCCAGCAGATTGGGGGGATCTGTACAACGTCATCGGTACTGTCACCCTCAAGGGTCCTGAGTCCGTGTACTCTCCATCCCCAGAGCTCGAAGCATTTCTTGGCAACGATGGAGGGCCTATCTTCGTTGGATTCGGCTCCATGGTCCTAGCCGACCCGCTAGCAACCACCAAGATGATCATTGAAGCAGCCACACAAGCAAATGTGCGAGTGCTGATCCAGTCCAGCTGGAGCGACATGGCCGGCGACCTCGAAATCCCTAGCAACGTCTTCTTCATCGGCAATTGTCCGCACGACTGGCTCATGCCCCGAGTATCAGCTGTTGTTCACCATGGCGGAGCGGGAACTACCGCCGCTGGCCTACTCGCTGGGAAGCCCACGTTCATCGTCCCGTTCTTCGGAGACCAACCCTTCTGGGGGCAAGCCATCGTGAGCGCTCGGGTGGGTGTACCGCCTTGCCCTATTGCACAACTAACGACCGAGATACTGTGCAAGGCCTTCGTAGATCTCCAAAACTTAGAACTCCGGAAGCGAGCTGAAGTGCTGGGGGAACTCATGATGGAGGAAGATGGAGCGGAAGAGGCTGTCCGCAGCTTTTATCACCACATTCCGACGCAAGAAATGTGGTGCGACTTGGATCACCAACGCGTTGCCACCCAGTGGAGTGTCCAGGACCGGATCAAACTCTGCGACCGCTGTGCATTCGTCGTCAGGGAACGTCCGGAAAACGACAAGAAAAAGTTCGTGCGCTATCACTGCGTCGACTACTCCGCTCGTGGGCCCAGCTCTCTACTGAAGGGCGTCGCAACGGGAGCTATTGTGTTCGCACACGAGCTGACTGGCGGCTTGACGGGTGTCCTGCTTCAGCCAGCGAAAGGACTGATCTATGGCGGGGTTGTCGGTGCCGTCAAGGGTGCAGTGGCGGGTGTGTACTATTTGCTCTGGCGCCCGGTTCATGGAGCTGTGCTCTTTGCTGACCGCGCAGTCGCTGGGAGGAAGAACGCGAAACGAGAAGAAGGCCATCGCAAGATGAACAGTGTGTTCGACCGCCACATCATGGCGGCCTTCGGGGTGCAAAACGGTTTGGCCGACACGTTTTGCCTGGCGATGAGCCCAAATGCAGTCGACATCGTCATTTTCGCGCGCAGGAAAGACCGCAAGAAGATGCTGAGGCGGATGAAACACTCGGTCAGGCATCGGTACTGCGCCCGCTACGAGGCCATCGTTCATGCTCAGAATTTCGCATCGCAATACCCAGTCTGCGGTGAAGTCTCAAGTCCACGTAAACAGGCACTTCTTCGCGACGCAAACAGAAGCAGCAGCAATCTCTCGATATCGGATAGTGGCGACGCACGTATCCACAAGACGAGCGAGGCGTCCAGCTCTGAATTGGGCACAAAGCCAGTCATAACGCTTTATTCCGCCAGACTCACATCGGCTGGGACAGTCAAGATGGCACTAGGTATATCAAGCGATTCGTCGAATGCTGTGGACTTCTCCATCATCGCGGAATGGGAGGCGTACGCGTCGTACCAGCGTGGGAAAATCGAGTACGCCGACTCAATCACTCTAAACAACGTCAACAACAGAAGACCAAAGTCGCCGAAATCATCGAACTCCAAGATTCCAGTCATGAACGTGAGCCTTGCTGCTATCGGTACTTGGGACAACGGTGTGAAGCAGTTCGTCGCAATCGGCATCAAGCTCAAGGAGCAGGGCCATCGGGTTCGCGTTGCTGCTAACGAGAGGTTCCGAACAGAGATTATGGCCCGAGGTCTTGAATTCTACCCCCTTGCTGGGGCCCCCGACAGTATCCAAGACTTCGCAAAGTTTGTGTACGATAGTCAAAATGCAGCTCGAGCAGCGGTACCAGGACGCTTGGGTGCTGGTGCTATTCAAGCGTTCAAGGAGCTCATGTACTCGCTGTGGCCCGCTGCATACGGATCCGACCCGCATGGTAGCGGCACAAATATTTCTGGAGTGCACTTTCGGGCGGACGCGCTGTTGTGGCATCCGCTGCTGCTTGGTCATGTACACGTTGCCGAACGACTTGGTATTCCTCTCCAGTGTGCCAGCCTGGAACCCCTCTCGCCTACGTATTATTTCCCGCATCCACTGAGCTCCATCACAGGCCTCGACTCAACGATCATGACGCTGTGCCAAAGCAACTCGTTGACGTACGGCATCGTTGACACTACGATATGGCACGGCAGTATAGCAGAAGTTCTGACCCAGTTCCGTGCTTTCATCGGATTGAAGAAGCGCTGCGATGTGCCCGACCCGCTTGTTCGGTGGGAAGTCCCACATATTTACCTCTGGAATCCAGCGCTGCTACCAAAACCATTGGACTGGGGGGCTGAACTGTCAGTTGTTGGTCATGTGACTCTATATATCAATGCCGGGCTCAGTCGACGGAAACGCAAGAAGCGCGAGAAGGAGATTAAACGCTTCAAGTGGTCCAGCTCACTCACCGAGTTTGCATTCCAGACGTCCACTCCACCAGTCATTTACTTCGGGGTCTCCACGCGGGCAATGCCGTTTGGTGCTTTGGACGAGTTACTACAGAAAGTGGAGGCTGCTGCTTCCAGACAACAGGTTAGAATCATTTTCCAGACTCGAGAAGTTGGTGACAAGCAGCGAGCACTTTTCCAGTCTGCGAATGTGCTGGAAATCGCCAGCGATCTGCCGTATGCAAGACTCTTTCAAGAGGAAGCTGTGGTTGGAGTGATCCACTGGGGAGAGCCTGATGTCGTTGCGGAAAGTCTTTCGGCTGGCAAACCCATCGGCATTTGCGGTGCGCACTCGTATCAGCGACTCATAGCGTGCTTGTGTGAGCAAGCCCACGTCGGATTGCCATTGATTGACTGGAACACGTGCACAGTGGAGACTCTGTCCGCAAACTTTCAGAACCTGCTAAGCCCAGTCGTCCGAGAGAAAGCGCAAGCATTTGCAGTCACTTATGACCCCGAAAAACCTGTCAGTGACGCAGTACAGGCCTTCTATGCCAACCTGCCCTGGGACGCGATGCGCTGTGATGTGGATCCGAGTAAGCTCGCGCGAGTCTTCGACCCACGCAACAAACTCAAGTTGTCACTCCAGGCCTATGTGGCTATCCGCGATAAAATTAAGGTGTTTGTGCCGTACAAACCTCTCCGATACGGTGGCAACCACCCTCCGACATTCTCCATTCACGACAATGTCGGAGAAGCACAACGTGATCTCAAGCCAACTCGGCAGCATGATGGAGTCCCGCAGGCGCTGGAGTTGCTTGAAATCCAGGGTTACGCGCTTGGAGGCAGATCCCTAAGCTGCTCCTCCGTGTTGTCAAACCCTGGCAGCCTTGTGGCCACTCCGGAACAGATAGAGATGTTCTGGAATTCTGCGGAAGAAGAAGCCGCAGTACGCAGAGGTACCAATGTGGCATATGAGCGCCTTGTCAAGAAGCTCCCTATCAAGAGTAAACGCGAAGCAGTGATGCGCTTCTTCGGGTTTAGAAAAGCAGCACAGCGTCGTGAAGCGGAGCAACTAACCTTAGTAGAATAGCTTATCATCACCAGCGGGGCTTGATTTGTCTGGTCATAACATGACAGCTACAGCACAGATGAGATGGTCTGAACGGGAATCTATAATGAGTTAGTATCCGAGGGTGTGGAAGAGATCGTATCTAGGCACGCTATCACTCAGCTAGCAGTTACTCTGGTTCTTGAGGGAACTAGAGCGCGACAGACGACGCGGACGACGAGGACGAACCGTTGGCGAAGTTCCGCGTCATAAGCAGCTTTTCGTACTTGCTGCTGATCTCCAAAGTCTTCTTCGCCTGCTCCTCCGGCGAGTTCCAAAACTTCGGCATTTCCACCACGTTCAAAGCCATGGACTGAGCGCGTGAGAGGTGACTCAGTCGTCTCCGAGGGGTGCCGCCAAACTTCTTCGCCGCATCTGAGGAGGACGTCAGTGAGGCTCGTTCCTGGTCCACTCGTTCTGCCAACTCGGCGCTAGCAGGGTCATACGTGTACAATACTTTCGTCCTCGGGTGTTTCTTGAGATTTCCAGACGAAGAGTGCAGCAGCTCCAGCTCTCGCAATGAGAACCGTGGCGGGTGGTGCTGCGCATATTTGAGGGGTTTGTACTTCAAGTCCCCCGCGCTGCCTCTGTCGTGCGTAACTTGGTGTACGACCAGTCTTGCCTCGTACGAAAGTTTCATTTCGTGGTCTGAATCGTAGACGCGAGCGATTCGCGCCGGATCCAGGTCGCAGGCCATCCCTGCGAGGGGAAGGTTGCTGTAGAAAGCCGAAACAGCAGTCTCAATGGCACTAGCCGATGAAAACTTCGGGGCTAGGCGCTTGGCGCAATGTGTGAGCTTGGGGTCCAATAGTACACGGAACACGTGAACGAGGTTAGACGGCGTTAGAGCATCCATCTCCAACGGCTCCACACCAGCGCCTGACAGTACTAACGCTTGGCCCCACATCCGCTGGGTAATATTACGCGGGACAACGCACGCAGGCTTCGCTGCTGCCAAGCACGTCGACGTGATAGAGAGATCACCCCAGTGCATTGTGGCATGCACGTGCGGAAGGATGCGCTTCACTGGAAATTGTTGGTCAATCTCGAACACCACATCCGTACCGCCCACGAAGAAGGCAGCATCGTCGTTGCTGTTCTCGTAGCCTTGGAATACAACACGCACATTCGCTTTCTGGGCAGCCTTTTCTAAGGAGCCAACCAGATCTTGAACTTGGCGCGGATCCCAATCGCCACATTGGAAGCCAAAGTAGATCAGCGGTGACCCAGCTGCATCCCTTGCAAAAGAACACAACTCTTGTTCAATGGCAGCAAGGTCGGTGTCCTCGGCGGGACTCTCCTCCAGCTCCACGTACCCCGCAATAGTGATCTCACTTCCCCAATCATGAGGTTTCGGCAGAAGTGCAGGGTTCCAAAGGTAGGTGTGAGGGATACGCCATTCAGCGAGCAAGTTCTTAGGGATACTCTTGCCGGTAAGCCCCAAGAAGTAACGGAACTCATCCAATACATCTCGCATGCCATTCCACAGCACGTTGTCAATCACGTCGTATGATGCTGCGTTTGTTGGGGCGTAACGATACGGTCTGTGAAGCTTCATGTTCGAGCTGACGAGGTGAGGGAACGCCTGAGTGCGAGATTGTGGATTGTAACTCATGCAGTGCAGAGGCACGCCAAGGCGCTCGGCCACGATGGTCTGTCCGAACAAGTACGGGTGCGCAATGATGGCGTCGGCGCGAAATGCCTTGCCAGGCACCAGTGGATCCACCTCCACACATGCAGGCCACAGCGAAAACACAAGCTCCCGTAGATCATCCACTTCTGGGAACGACTCGCGCCTGTGATTCAGCTTGGAGTGGGCATAGTTCAGCAATCGAGACTTGTGACGCGGCTCCTCCTTGCTTCGCTGGTGCAGATACTGCAAAAAGTTTCCAGTCGTAATAGCACTACCACCAAGTGGATAGAAATCTAGTCCAGCACTGACGATGCGGTCCCGGTGGCCACTGTTTGTCGCGATCCGCACGCAGTGTCCGTCAGCTTTGAGACGAAGTCCGATCGCGACGTACTGCTGGATACTTTCTTCCCAGGTGCCAGTTGTCATCATGCAAATATTCATCTTCGGTAGTACTGGGGTACTACTCAAGCTTTCTAGTCGTTTTTTCTGGATTTCATCTTCCTTGCGGGCTTCGTTTTCTAGCTGCTGCACCTCACTCTCGCGTAGCGCTTCACCAACCTTCTCGCCATCTCCAAACGCAATGTCAAATGAGTCAGTACCATTAAAGGTGGCTCCGTCCACATTGACAACAATCGCTGCGGCATCCGCTGCTGTGGTTTCCGATGTCCCACCACTTTTCGCCAACTTGAATGACGGTTGTCCATGCAGCTTACGCTCTTTCATGAGCGCGTTGAACCTGTTTTCAAGAGTGGTCTTCTCCTCTGGTGTTAGTTGGATCGCGATTTGAGCAGAATGTGAACTATCTGAATCAACCACTTCATCCAAGATCAGTGCTCCATTGTGAACGTTGCGAGTCTTGAACCCCATGGCATTCAGAAGCTTTTTGTTGTCTCCAAGAAGCGAGCCTTTCTTTTTATCGTCATCTCCCCGGACATTGTTATATGCTCCGGTTGCAAGGTGGTCAGCGAATACTACCGTTCCCACCAACGGACTGATCATAAGTCCACCGATGCCTTTCACCAGTCCAATCACAGCACCCTTCGCTCCTTCCTGGCGGTATCCCTGTGCAGGCTTCACAATTACATCCTTGAAACCCGATCCAAATACGTGAGCAAAGGCACCCACACCAGCAGAAGCGCCTTCCAGCACATTTTCTGGTCCTCGCGCTGAGTAGTCCACAAAATTGTACTCGACGATATCCGTCGGTGAATTTTCAGGGCGTGAGCTCACAACGAACCCACACTCGTCACAGAGGCGAATTTTATCCTTCTCAGTCCACATCGTCGCAGCTCGTCCACACTCAAGGTCGCAGCGCATCTGATGCAACGGCAAGTTCCGGTAGAAGCTCTTAACAGCTTCACCTGCGCCATCTTCTTGCCGCATGAGATCACGCATTGCAATTGCTCGTGCACGAAGCTGCGGGCTTTCAAGTGCCTCAAACGCAACTCGAAGCTTTTCAGTGGTCAACTGAGAGATTGGGCAGGGCTCCACACCAACACCAGCATCCAAGACAGCACGGCCCCAGAACGGCTGATCACCGAAGAATGGCACGATGAATGTAGGCTTTCCAGCAAGCAGGCCCGCTGCGGTGGTGCCTGCTCCACCGTGATGCACTACTGCCGACACTTGTGGCATGAGCCAGTCATGCGGACAGCTTCCAAGGAAGAAAATATTGTCTGGAATCGTGAGGTCTCCCGCCATATCGCTCCAGCTCGATTGAATCAACACACGCACACCCGCTTGTTCTGCAGCCTCGATGATCATCTTGGTGACTCCCTTCGGATCTTGAATAACCATAGACCCGAAGCCCACAAAAATTGGGCCTGCATCGTCACCAAGGAACGCCTCGAGCTCTGGTGAAGGTGTGTATGAAGAGCTCGGTCCCTCCAGCGTCACAGTGCCGATAACATCGTAAATTTTCCCCCAGTCCTCCGGCTTTGGCACCAGTCGCGGGCTCCACATGAAGGCGTGGGGGATCGCAAGGTCCAGCAAAATGTCGCGGCCGCCATCGCCCTTGAGAATCTTTCTCAGACCCAGCTTGTCCCTACGAAACGCGTTCACCATTCCTTCCGTGCCCTGCCACATTAGCAGATCCACCATTTTGTATGACATGTAGTTCACCTTCTTGGGCTTCCCCGTGTACGGCATGTTCGACAGCGGGTGCGGGAACGCGGTTGTGGGCACCCATGGCTGCGGAAACATGATATGCAGCGGCACTCCAAGACGTTCTGCCACGTGAATATGGCCGTACGTGACCGGGTTCGAGATGATGGCCTGCGCCCGAAAAGGTTTGCCGGGAATACCAGGGCCTCCACCTTCGGGGTCTGCCTCGGACACTGCTGGCCACGTCGAGTAGAGAATCTCCTCGATCATCTGCATGTTGCGCGGCATGTCCTTTTGGATCGTCTCGAGGTTGAGAGGGATCAGGTGGCCGCCCGTCTTGACCATGTAGGCCGAGAGCTCCTTGGGGTCTCCAGTGAGCGGGTAGAACTCGACGTCGTGGCTCATGACAAAGTTCCGATACACTGCGTGGGTGGCGAGCCGCACGCGGTGGCCGTCCTGGAGGAGCCTCTTGGCGATGGCCACGAACGGCTGCACGTCTCCGTGGGTGCCCACGATCATGATGCAGATGGTCATGAGGGGCGCGTCGTAGTCGGCGCGGCTGCTCTGGCGCGTGGAGCGCAGCGACGCGTCCTCGCGCTTCTTGGCCTGCTCCTGCAGCGCCGAGATGTCGTACTTGTCGTCGTCCTCGTCGAAGTCCATGTGGATGTGGCCCTCGCGGTCGAAGGCGGCGGCCGCCTGCACCACGTCCGCGAAGCTCGTGAGCTTGCCCCCGCCGGCGCCGATGGACTGGCGCCGCTCTTCCATGACCGTCTGCACGGCGCGCGAGAACGCCTCCTTCCAGCGCTGCAGCGAGAGACACTCAGTTAGTCAAGGACCATCACTCTGCGGGCGTATGATCGACTTACCTTGGGCTTGTCCGCATCGACCGGCGCTGGGGGCGGGGGCGTCTCCTCTTCCTCGCTCTGCGTGGTCTCCTCCTGCATCTTGGGCTTATCGTCTTCCTTCTCCTGGTGCTGCTCCTGCTGCGCGGCCTCCATCTTGGGGAATGCGGGCGCTGCTCGGCGCTCTTGGTGCGGAAAATGCGGATTCGTCTGAGTTTGTCCCGCGAAGCGTCCCGCAATCCAGCCGACGTGAGAATTGATATGGATAACACCAAATTTATACGCACGTTTGTATGTTTCTATGTCCTTATATTTAGATCACCTGTGTAAACGATTTAATTCATTGATCATAAATGAGAGGGGAACAGCGCAATTGAGCCACAGGCTTTGCCTGAACCGGATTATCACGCCGCAATGGCCCGCGCTGGAAACTCGCGTCGGATTTTGCTGGTGGAGAGCACAGCTCTCCAGAACAGTCCACGTCCGTCGCGACGTCTTTGCCCGCGGCCACTTGTCGAAACCCTAGAGGCGGGCGCGGTTTACGCGCTGCAGCAGATAACATGGAGCCGTGGCGCGGGCGTGAGACCCCCTTACTCGTCCTGAACTCGCGGTCTGTTTTGGCGATCGTTCAGAACCAAATGAGCGAGTGCCAGTCACGCTAGTGCGTGAACGAGGACTATGGTTCCCTGGGCTGAGTCACCATTTCAATTTCACCGCCCACCACTCCACCACTGAATCACGATTCGTGAGCCAGCTCAAGCTGCGAACTCCGTGCCACGTGCAGACTTCATTGCGGCCACAACTGCGATCATATGAGCCGTTGAAGGCAACAGGGCATTGCTGAGCCCAACGTTGGAGACGAATCTGCCGGGAGTTGAAGTGAGGGGAGCGCTCGTCTCTGATTGGTCAGCACCTTTGTATGAAATGAGCCGTTATGCTCGGCCTGGGACAGAGACCGCAGTCTCCGCTGCACCTTGTTGCTGTCGCCTTCGTCCCCCGCCGTCAAGCTCCTTCCTCCCCGTGGCGGCCGTGAGCCGCCCCCATGACGAGCAAGAACCGGCGGCTGCGCTCCACGTCCGTCTCCTTCGGCGTCGGCTCCATCCCGCGCCCCAACTTCGACCTGGGCCCTGCAGCCAGCAACGCCAACAATGCTCCGCTCCGCCGCCGCTCGTCGTCGCCGCGGGTTCCGCCGCCCTGGCGCCGCGCCGACAGCGTCATGGAGCGGGTCATGAACCCGTTCCTGGACCGCGAGTCGCCGTCCCATTGGTACCGCTACAAGCCCGTGCCCACGCTGCCGGAGCTGCAGCTGGCTCCCGACATTGTTCCTCCAGCTGCAGTTGGTACTGCGGCTCGCCACTCCCAGCTGACCGCCGCCGAGAAGACTCGGCCCTCGTACAAGAAGGCGCTGGCCTTCCACGACGGACTGCACTCGACCTATGTGGCTGACTACCCACGAGGACTGCGCGGACTCTTTGTGCTGGTGCAGAGTCCGCTGCTGCTCATCGCCATCGGAATCTTCGCCGGCAGTGTGGGGCTCGCTATGGACGTCTGGAGCGTCGAGATCGCCCGGTACCATCAATGGCTGGGCGACCAAGGTTTCATGCTGTTTGTGCTCTCGGCGCTGCTGGCTGGAGGCTTCTCGGCCATTCTCACGCAGTGCGTGTGCCCGCAAGCTGCTGGATCGGGACTCCCATTCATGAAAGTGGCCATCTCGGGTATCGACATGAGCGCGTACCTGTCGTTCCGCTGCATCGCTACCAAGATTGTTGGGCTTATGGCTGCACTGGGTGCTGGTCTGTCCATTGGCAAGGAGGGTCCGTTTATCATGATTTCGTGTGGATTTGCCAGTGTGCTGATGAACTGGCGCCCCTTCCGCCGCATTCGCGATGATGACACGAAGCGCTTGGAGATGCTGGCTTGCGCCTGTGCTGCTGGAGTCGCTGCTACGTTTGGCTCCCCGTTTGGCGGCGTGCTGTTTGGAGTCGAGGTGACATCCCACTTTTACCTCGTCCGAACTCTGCCTCGGTCATTCTTCGCCGCGATCGTTGGCGCGCTGCTCGTGGACTTTGGCGCTGCCAACACGCGCTACGGCCTCTTTGGCAACCGCAGCATGGGCATTTCCTCGGATACCGATGCTGTCAATGGGAGCGGTGGACCCAGCTTCGTTGATCTGTCCGTTTTCGCTACAATGGGCATCGTCTGTGGTTTAGGTGGTGCGTTCTTCAACCACACTCTGTCGATATTGGTGCGTGCACGCGACCGGTTTTTCGAGCCTTCGCCATCAAGGACGCCACGCGCAGGCTGGTGGAAGGCTCTAGGCAAGCGATTGGGGCTCGTGCTCGCAGTGACGCTGCTATCGTGTTGGCTCGAGTTCTATGGGGATAGTGCGTGGTTCCTGAGGCATGGTTCCCCTCGAAAAATTCTCGACGCGCTATTCTCGAAGGACAAACAGGTTTTCGTTGCGGATGGTACTCCTGAAAACGTTGAAGAAGATAGCTTGCTGCTTTCAAGGTCGCTGGTGACGTTTCTCCCGCTCAAGTACGTGCTAACGCTTATCAGTATTGTCCTCCCCGTGCCGGCTGGTCTGTTCACCCCAACATTTGTCATCGGTGGCATCTTCGGTCGTCTCGTTGGTGAAGCCGTCCGCGCGTTCGATCTCTTGAGCACCCGCTACGAGCCTTTTGAGTTTGCTATCATCGGCGCTGGCGCTTTCTCATCGGGTGTCACCCACGCCGTGTCAACAGCAGTCATCATCATGGAGATCTCGCACACTGACGGTCTCAACCTGCCCGTGTCTGTCGCAATTTTGGCTGCGTACTTCACGGCCAAGCGATTCACTGAGAACGTGTACGACGTCCTTATCGTGACCAGTAACTTGCCTCGCCTGAAAAAGCTCCCGAAGGCTGCGTACGACATTCCTGCTTGGGAGGTGATGAAGGATGTGGCTGAGATGGGCGTGCTAACAGCCGACTCCACCTACGCCGATGCACTGGCATTGCTCAAGCGCTCAGACATGGAGCCCGTGTTCCCGATCGTGGACTCGCTGGAGAACCGCTTCCTGCTAGCCACGGTCACGCGTTCCCGATTGGCCTACGCTGTCTCCCGCTGCCAGCGCCAAGGAGCGACCCCGATTGCACTCACGCCTATGAATTTGCGCCAGCCGACAAACGTCGAGACGATGGCCACGGCGGCGACGTCGCTGCTGTTCCCTCCGACCCCGCGCATGACCACCCCAACTGCTATACGCACAGTCGGCTACGACTCAGGCATCCGGCACCCGACCCCTGTGGTTCGCACCGCCTACGGAGCGATGGACTCGATGCCGCGCCGCGACAGCGAGGAGTTCGACGACGACGACGACTTCGATGACGACGGACTAGACGAGCTGCCGATGCAGCTGCTGAGCTCGCCGATCCACTTTGCGTTCGGGCGCGGCGGCAAGGTCATGGACTGGGGCACGAACGAGGTCTGCGAGCCGACCAAGCTGACGGTGCTCATCGACCCGTCGCCCTTCCAGCTCATGGAGATGACGCCCATGCGCCGCGTGGACATGCTCTTCCGCATGCTCAAGCTCAACAACGTGTTCGTCGCGCGCTCCGGCAAACTCATGGGCGTCATCAGCCTCGCGCGCATGATGACGTTCCTGGGCACCACGACGCCGTACCAGGCCCCGGGGCTGCTGCGCACGCTCCAGAACTTCTGCTCCAAGTCGTAGGTCATCACAGACAACTTCAACTTTACTTCAACTCTAGCAATACTAGCCAATCCCATCCATTTCCGCGAAAATAGAATATCCCCCAATCCAGATCAGCTAGCATCCATCTTTTCATCCAATCAGAGATGGCTCCAACGCGAAGAGCTCCATTTCCGCCGCCGCCATGAACATGAACCAGATGAAGAACGCGTCCAACCTGCACGCGGCCAACGCCACGAGCGTCGTGGGCAACTCCATGGCCATCCCGGCGCGTCTGGGAGCCGCGGCGGGCGCGGCCAACGGCGCTTCGGCCGCGCAGCCCACCGCCGTGCCCATGAACGTGTCGGCCGCGCAGCTCACTCAGATGAACCTGAGCCACGTGCGCAGCGCGGCCTTCAAGCCGGCGGTCCCTGTGGCCGGCGCCAACGTGGTGCTGCCCAGCGCCGGCGCCGCCGCGGCCGTGCCCAACACGGCGGGCGCGGGCGCGCTGCAGCTGTCGGGCCGCTGGTCGCTCGACCGCGAGGACTCGGACTCGACCAACGACTACCTGGAGGCCATGGGGCTGCCGCTCATCGCGCGCCAGGCCGCCGACAAGCTGGACCTGATGGTGATCATCAGCCAGACGCCCGGCGACTTCGTCATCACGAGGCGCACGCGCATCTTCACGGAGACCAAGCAACTCAAGTTCGGCCAGGAGGTCAACGTCAAGAACAACCTCATCACCGTCACGGGCGACGCCGCGCAGATCAAGACGGTCACGCAGCTCTCGGGCTTCCGCGGCGTGCTCACGGACGTGCGCACGCTGGACCCGCGCGGCCGCATGCACGTGGAGCTCACGCTCACGCTGCCGGAGAAGGCGCCGGTTGTCATCAACCGCTACTTCAAGAAGACGAGCGAGTCCACATCACTCGAGAACCTGCCAGCGTTCGACATTAGCCTCGAGACGTCGGGCGACGTCAAGCGCAAGCGCTAAGCAGTGCAACGGTGTGTGTAGATTGGGATGGCGCTGACTGCTGGAGGTGGCGACGAGAGCGCCACACTCCGGGTTGGTAGCTCGGGTAGGGAAGTAGAGGCATTTTATTGCGCAATTTACTGGACGTTCACATGGACTCTGCTTTCACTACAGCTACCACCAGCATCTGCTGCATCATCATCATCATACGGTGCTTCATTGCTACGATAACCGTCAAAATTAACTTGATCCGAGGAAAAACTCGCGCTGCACGTCGAAGGCTTTGAAGCGCTTGCCAGCGTACTCCAGGAAGTCAAAGTCGATCTTGGAGTGGGCCGCCTGCACGAGGGCCCAGTAGCCCCAGAACAGGTGGGACGCGAGTGCGTAGCGGTTCACCACGTCATACAACGCGTGGAAGAACGCCTTGGACTCGCGGTTCGCCTCCAGCTGGGCCAGCATCTTGGGCGCTGCCGTGCTCATGTAGGCCTTGAAGAACGCAAACTGCTTGTCAATGCTCGGGTACTGCGCCAGGTCCAGCTCAAAGCCGCAGTTCTCGATGAAGTGGTTGGCGAAGTCGAACGCGCGGAAGTTGTATCCGCCGTACTCGTAGTCGATGATCTGCACGCGGTCCCAGTCCGGGTTGTGCAGGATGTTGCCGCTCAGCAGGTCGTTGTGCGAGAACACCACGTCAGACGCAAACGCCTCAGCTTGCTTGGTGATCTCGTCCGTGTCGAGCGCATAGAGCAGATCCTTGCCGTTGTGGTTGTGGTTCGAGGGGAGCACCGACTTGAGCCACTCGAGCTTCTGGTGCAGACCAGCCAGGTCCAGTTCCTCGAGCGCCGCGTTCTTGACGGGGTCCTCCAGCTCGATCTCCAGCGCGAGCTTCTCGAAGCGCTCGATCTTTGTCCACAGCACCGGTGCACGGTCCTCGGGGATGTCCATGATGTGCATGATGCCCAGCTCCCTGCCGATCATGCGCAGGTAGTTAATAGGGTAGGTCAAACCCATGTCTTCGGGCTCCAGCGGGCGGGCGTCGAGCCAGCCTTCGATGCGGCCGTTCTTGAAGCGGCCGTAGTACGTGGGGGCAAATCCGCGCTCCGACAGCAGGGCGAAGAGCACTGCAACAGCGGAACGCACAGAAAGGGATGAGCACCGGTACTTCAACCTCATTGCATTCGTCAGCAGCAGGGACAGCAAACGTACTGTTCTCAATGCTGCGGTCGATGAACTCCTCCGTGTGGTCGCCGTACAAGCGCACCAGCACCGACTGAAGGCAGCACAGTGCACACGTAACCGTCAGTCAGTCAACCGTGAAGGGGCTCCACTTGCAATCTACAGTGCTCTATGAGCCGTACCTTGTCCCCCCACATGAGGCGGTAGAGGCGGTTGGTGATGCCGCCCACGATGATCTTGACCGAGATGTCGTCGTTCGGGGCGTCCTTCCTGCAAAAGCACAGGCGTCTTGTTAAAACCCAAAGGGAACTCACACAACCAGCGGCCAGATCGTCTCATTGTACGGGCGCGCTCTCTCACCAGTCGGAGCAGATCTGCTTGACCACGAACTTGGCGTCGTCGAACTCGTCGGCGCCCCCCGCGCCCACCGCGTAGTCCAGGCACGCGTTGGCGTTGTTCAGGTACACCACTGCACGCAGGAAGCAACACACACAGAGAGACGTTAGACACAGCCACCACTGCCCCCTTCGGTGTATGTTGAAAGTTCTGGTCTTCTCTCACCTTCTCCGGGCATTTCTTTGTTGTTGTCAAGCGCTTGGGCTTCGGACTGGGAGCTGCTGCTGCTGCTGTGGCGACGGCGGTGGCTGCGTCGGCGGCGGGAAGATCGCAAGTGACGGCGGTCGAGCAGCAGCAGGAGGCTGGCGGCCGTGAGCGTGCAGGTGGCGACGGAGACGAGGGCGAGGGCGCGCCAGTTGAGGTTTGGCTCGCGGGCTCCGGGCATCGATCGACTGCGCAGCTGGACGGTTGTGTACTGATGTGAGCTCCTCTGCCCTGACAGGCGAAAACGGAATCCCGTTTTGGCCAATCGGAGTGCGTAGCAAGGGCCCTGCGCGGTCTGGTACCTGGTTTCAATGACCTCTGCATCCTCCCATCTCGACACCATCTCCATGACGCGCTGCGGCGTGGTTGCCCTTGGAGGGCCCGTTGCTCCTACTCCCGAGTTGCAGTAGATTGTATTGCATCGTGCTTGACGCCGCTGAGCAAAGAGATTGAGGAAATAGCTTTTGTCGTTGCAGTCGGCAGTGCAGGCGCCGAGATCGCAGGGAGTTCTGTTGACAGTCTCAGCTTGAGACTTGTTAGCTAAAACAACACGCCCCGGCTGTATGGAGGCAATGGCATTTTAAGATAGACTGCTCAGCGGAGACCGTGGAGGTAGCGATCGTGTCTACTATCGGCACGGCGTAGATCTGGCCGGTGTGATTCTTGCTCATGTCGCCTGTCAGCAGCGCTACGTGTAACGCGGTATCCTCGGGCGGGCGAAATGCATGTACCTGAGGTCTTTGTCGATCGTCACTACACTCATGTGCTGCGGTGTTGTGTGAACGGCATCGCCTTGGAGCTCCATTTGGTCAGCAGGTTGAAGTCGTTGAAGTCGAACTTGCAACAGATCTTCGTCATGTGATCGCTCCCGCCTCAGCGTGCTGGGTCGTCATCGGGGCATGCAGCGAAAGTGATGATACGATGATACAGTTGATACATCATGTGTGCTGTAATCTCGTCGGATACCTGCATGTATGCATGAGAATCGGGCTTTCATCTTAGACTCGTAAGGAACAAGTACCGGAAAAGTCGTATTGATAGAGCTCTATCATTCCGATAATTGTGGTAGTACTGCGACAAAACGAAAATTGCTATAAAACACGGTAGCATTTACATCATTTTATAAAACACGGTAGAAAATGATTGATCGACGTGCGCGGTGAACTGTTCGGCTTCTCCTAGACGGCAAGCACACAACGCAAACCTCCAGCAGCAGCAGAAGCCCGACTTCCAAACCAGTAGCAGCATGCCCCGCGACCGCATCCCTACCCACTACACCAACCGCTTCAAAGCGCGCGCCGTTGAAGACAGGCGTGCTGCACGCGCTAGCGGCACGAGCTGCAGAGCGTTTGCCGAGTCAAGTGGCTTCCCCGCCCACAAACGAGAGTGAAGGTTACCGATGCACCATGGCGCTTACCGTTTCGGCAGACGGAATAATTTTTCCGCCACGCTTTGTTTACAATGGTGCCCCGGTGGAGACGTCGAGAAGGAGCTGAATAAGTTTTGCGTAGAAGACGTGGCTACATTTTCGGTGCAAGAGAGCGCCTGGTTTGATGAGAGAGTGATGTTGGAGTGGATTGAGAAGTGCAGGAAGTATATCGTTGTAGAGACATCAGTCCTCATACTCGATAGCTTATCAGTACACAAGGAAGCGGAAATTGCCGACGCGTTGGCGTGTACGGGCACTTTGGTGCTATACGTACCTGGCGGCTGCACCGGTGTTGCGCAGCCTCTCGACGTAGGCGTTATGGGCCCTGTCAAGCAGCACATTCGTCGTATCAATAGCTCGCGTTCCGTCGGACGACCGAAGACGGTAACGCCTGCGTTTCGTCGGCATCAGATTTTCGAGCGTGCAATGGAGGGGCTTCGTTGTGTTTCCGCGCTGACAGACCGAATGTGTAACGGGGTACAATCAAGTGTACCCATTACATGAAGAGTGACGGGTGTCACTCTCCCGAGTACATGGTACATGGTACCAGTAGCTCCGCAAGCCAACCATTTGAGTTTGTGTGGGCTTTTGTATAGTTAACTTGTAGTTTGTATTACGACCAAGTTAACCTCTACCAAAATACAGACAGTCTTATAACCTACTCCTTTGTAGCAAACCGTTCCCTTTGAGGCCGGGAACTGGTGAACTGCTGTTCACCTGGATAGTAATAATAGTAATATCCGCACGCACTTCCTCTGTGCATTGTGCTGTGTGACCCCGTCACACTTGGTAGCACTTGTAGTCAATCCTACGCCTACGCGGGTAGATTGGTCTACCTGAATCCTCGGTGGCTCAGGTCTGTGAGCCACGATGGACCGAAGTGAGTTTCCTCACTTGACTGACTCGCAGTTTGAGTCGGTGCGGAAGATGGCGGGCATCTTCGGAAGAGATGCCCTCCGGAGATTGGCGGCGGCGACGCCAGCCGAGCAGGTCGAGCGGGTGAGCGCGTTTGACGAGTACGAACGCGGGCTCATCGCTCATGTGCAGGGAAACCTGCTGGCTCAGATGAGTGAGCCCAAACGGGTGCAGCCTAAGCCTCTGCGGCTAGCTGTGCCTCCGTTCGAAGGGAAGGAAGGTGAGAACCTTCACTTCTGGATCCGGGAGACCGAGATCGCAATGAGCGCAGGTCTCATCTCGGCCGAGAACCTTCGAGTCGCCTTCGCGCTCTCCAATCTTGGCGGACGTGCCAGGACTTGGGCGTATACGCGCGAAGCGATGTCGCCTGGATGTTTCACATCCTGGGCTCAGCTGTGTGAGCAGCTTCGAGCCGCTTTTCTCCCGGCGAAAAACGAGTTCCGCCAGCGCTCGCGCTTCCTTGCCTGCAAACAAGGGGAGCGCGAGCTGTATGCGTACGTACAGGAGATGCGCACGTTGGCAACCTCGCTGGTGGGGAACCCACTGTCGGAAGACGTCAAGATGACAGTCTTCGTGGACGGCCTGAAGGTCGGTCCTGCGCGCACGCAGTTGTTCCGCGTGCGCACCGCCACTATGGAGGAGGCGATCCAAGTCTCCCTCCAGGAAGAGTACAGCCACAAGCAGGCTGGTGCTCTGGCTGTTGTACAGCCTGTGGTCGCTGACAGCGAACCAGAACCCATGGATCTGAGTTCGGCTGAGCAGTACTCAGCCCGCTGCTACGGCTGCGGCGGACTAGGACACTATCAACGTGTCTGCCCATCGTCTGGGTCTGGGAAGAAGACCTACCCGAAGACCAGAGGGTCAAGGGGGCGCCGACGCCATTCACCGTCAGGTGCTCAAGGGGGACACAACCACCAGTAAGGACGAGGGCCTTGCTGGGGTTGGCCCGAGTCTTTGTGGTGGGTGTACGGAAGGCGTACACCACAGAGACCCGGGGTCCCTTGCGAGCACTGACGCTCGCATTGGTGAAGGACAACGGTGGGTTGTCGGTAGTACACGTGAGTGTGCGGGGGTAATGGTATCCCTAGACATGATTGAGTCTGGGACGTCGCGTGGATGTTCGCACGTCGCCAGATGTGTCGGTTGGAATAACGACACAAGTGCCGAGACTCTGCGAGAGTCTAAGAACAAGGTCAGGTCTCATTGACTGAGGCTGGGCCGAAGAAGAACCTTGGGGTCCGCTGTGACCCTGGCTGCCGCGCTCGAGGGCGCTGACAGCAATGGAACCGCACATGGTCCCGGACATGGAACCGTACATCGTCCCGGACATCGTGCCGAAGCCGGCCCTGGGCATGGAACCGTATATGCCCTCGGCTTGAGCAAGTATGACTCGGCCCTGAGTGCGCCGTGCAAGCTGCACAGGCTCTCGGTCGAGTAGCGCGGCAGCGACTTGAGGCTAAGTCGGCCCTCTGTGTCTGACAGAGCATTGGTAGTCATGTTCCCACCTCTGGACAGACACAAGGGTGTTGGATGGGACCGCCAGGGCGCTGGATGCGTCCGACAAGACGAAGAAGAAGAAGGGAGGCATCATTGACATGCTGATCTCCATGAAGAAGGTGCAGTGTATCTGCAACCGAGGGCTGTTATGCCTGGCATGTGGAGCTGCCTCAACAAGCAACTCCAGTGCTGAGAGTCATTGCTCGGCATGAGCATTGACAAGGGTGGTGTTCGATGACACCACCAGGTAGGTAACCAAGGACCACTGACTAGCGGGTAACTTAGTTCCGCACAGAGCATGTAATGCTGAGGAGGCCGCCCAAGGCACCTCCGGCGTGGGTAACCAAGTACCACGGACGGTCGCCCAGACCTTAACTGAAGAGGAAGGCGCTACAGGCACTTCCTGTGTGGGTAACCCAGTTCCACACCAGGTCACTCAGACCTAAACTGATGAGGAAGGTGCACGATGCACTTCCTGTGTGGGTAACATAGTTCCACACGCGTCACTCAGACGGTAACGGATTGTGAAGCCGCATGATGCGCTTCCTGTGTGGGTAACGTGGTTCCGTAAGGCTCCGCATGAGCCGGAAGGAGTCGCTCGAAGCGACTTCAGCGTGGGTAACTTAGTTCCACGCACGGTCAGTATGACCGAGACTAGTGATCAGGTCACTTGGGTCTCCTCGCGTGTGGTGGATGACCACACGGAGTTTAAGAGGCTCGTGACACCGTCACGATGTCATAGCCGCACGGTCCTCTTGAAGGCGCCGCGCGGCTTTGATTTTAAGCGGGGGAGGAGTGCGCGGAAGCACTTCCTTCCTCCAAGGGCTTGGCATCCGGTCATCATGGATGACGTTCGACTGGGTGTCGACCAGCGCAGCTGTGGCCATGCGCACAGAAGACGTGGGTTGGGTACACGACGTACCTGCGGCGATGCATGTTGCGTCGCCGCCGACTCGGCGAGCATGGTCGATCACGACTGGAACGTGTCTGCCGGAGGGCGACACCTCAATGACCACATGCAGGAGCATGCTCGGTCTGAAGGCAAAGGCCGCTGCACGGCAGGGATCGTTGGTACGGTCTGTCGCGCCTAGCACTGTGCGGCGTTGGGACAACAAGTGTCCATGACTCGGTGCCGAGATGGCTGAGTCTGAGTATGCGTGCATGCCATGCAGCTACTCTGAATACAGGACAAGCCGTACGCTGTCATGGGTGCCATTGCCCGAAGACGTGGGTAACAGAGTAACACGTCAAGTCACGCAGACTCAAACTGCATCCAGGCTGGTAGATGCCAAGCCCTGGTCGACGATGTTGACCCAGAGCCAAAGAAGGGTAGCTGCCCGTGCCACCGGAGTCTGCTGGCACGGTGACTCGGTGCTGCAGGGCGGCGCGAGGTTAGGCGGCCGGCTGGTGCCTGACCCGCCGAGGCTCAACTCGTAAGTGGGGGAGGGGATCGGAAGTGCCCTTCCTCCAGAGGTCTCTGGCATGAGACTTGCTTCGTCGTAGAAGCCAGTGTGGTGGCTGCATGGTGTAGCCACTCACGAAGTATTACACGAAGGTGCTGGACCTGATGCATCGCTGCTCAGGTCCCATGGTCATGGTGACCGATGGCCAGCAACCTTGGCAGCGGCTACTGTCGCTGCTGGGCCGAAGATGGCGCGCGCATTCGCTGCTGGAAGGCTGCCTCTGTCAGGCAAAGACATGGCAGCCAGTCTGCGGCTTGGTCCGCGGACGATGGCATGTCTACATACGCAACACCATGCCGCAGCGTGATGCTGTTGCAACACTGGACGCGGTACGTCTACCGGCCAGGTAGCCACCAGCACCACGCCAAAGCTCCAGGCTGTTGCTACGCTGGGCGCGGCACGTCTGCCGGCCAGGTAGCTATCAGTCCCGAGCATGGGTGTTGCCAACGAGGGGAGAACCCGAACGTGTTGCCTTTGCAGACATTCACAGTTGGCGCGGCACATGCCGCACCTGTAAGGCGCGAAGCCATACGCGTGCACGTGGCACATACTACCTGTGAGATAGTCGCGGTGCGTGACGCTCACTGTGCGCGTGGCACTTGGTGTACGCGAGGTACCCCTAGTGCACGCGACACTACTTGTGCACGTGGCACTTGAGGTGCACGAGGCACTTATGGCAGTCGTGGTACGTGCCATACACGACGTGCCTTTGGTGTATGAGGTGGTGCCCTCGTACACCTTGAGGTCCTGTATGGACTGTGTGCCATGCGGTCTTGCACGCACACCGACCTGGTGTTGGTCGCCGCGATGCAGGATGCGATCGCCGGTGACGGAGGGCAATACACCCCACACCACGATGAAGTACCCTTGCGGTACCCTGGTGTCGAAGGAAGACACCTTAGCGTCGGCGACGTGATGGCCGTGACGCGCTGCAGGGCTTTAGACAAGTCCGCCGCGTTGCTCTGTATGATGAGCGGGTTGCTGGAAGCAGCCATGGTCGCTCAAGCAAACACGACGTTGAAGCATGACGCTTAATGGCTGTGGTCAGCGCTTGACCATAGCCCATGGGTCGAGCCGACGTATTCGGCCGACCGGCACACCGTGCTGTGACGAGCGGGGCCCTATCGGGCCGCTGTCATGGCCGGAGATGAGCAGCACAGCTTTCTCCATGGTTACGCCACGCGCTGACCGGAGGCACTGCAGCACGAACGTGCCAGCGGGGCCCGAGGGCCATGCGACGCCAACTGCTGGTTGTCTACGAGGGACACCGCAAGTTTGGAGGCACATGCATCCCGTGCCGAGGCACTCTGCGCCTGCTAGCGCTGTGAATACGGCCACTAAACGCGTCGGCTTTGCGGCCAACATCGCCGAGGGCAGGGGGGTTCCGCGCGGGGTGCCCGCTGCGGGCACAAGTCACTGTGGGCGTGACGATGAGGCGCGCCAGCCTTGCGGCGGCAGCGCCCGAGAATCCGACCTTTGGGTGTTCGGATTCTCTCGAAGCTAATTGGAGAATCAGATGTGATTCTCAGATAAGTGGGGGAGGATGTAACGGGGTACAATCAAGTGTACACATTACATGAAGAGTGACGGGTGTCACTCTCCCGAGTACATGGTACATTGTACCAGTAGCTCCGCAAGCCAACCATTTGAGTTTGTGTGGGCTTTTGTATAGTTAACTTGTAGTTTGTATTACGACCAAGTTAACCTCTACCAAAATACAGACAGTCTTATAACCTACTCCTTTGTAGCAAACCGTTCCCTTTGAGGCCGGGAACTGGTGAACTGCTGTTCACCTGGATAGTAATAATAGTAATATCCGCACGCACTTCCTCTGTGCATTGTGCTGTGTGGCCCCGTCACAGAATGCCATACGCCACCATCGCTTCGCAGAAGAATTATACATGTTCCTTGATCCGGTAGTGGAGTTTTAATTTCTGGCAGAGTCAGAATCTGATCGGTGTGTACATCTAGATTTTTTTGCTAATGCGATAAGATCGTGATCAGATGTTGGCTTGATGTACTCGCTCATTACTTTTTATTTTTCCACGGGTACTATATGGCAACAGATATACATGACCGATAGTACTCAACTCGCGGATCAGTATCTCCTACAATCGTCCCTGAAGCCTGACGTTTCTGTCAAGGTATCGCGCGGCAAGGGCGTGGCTGTTGTTAACGACGGACAAACAGGATCGTACTCGTCTGGTATTGTCTCCTTCGATTGCCAATCTGCTCTTAACGGCTCGCATGGCTACGCGTCCCTCAAGGATGCCTATGTAGTGCTCCCATATGTCGTATCGATGAAGAATTCTGCAGCTAGCGCGCTGACCGCTGGAGATTGTCCTACTCGCTATGCTCTAGGTCTTAAATGCAATATTTATAACATTGTTGATGAGGTCAAGGTTTACCTCAATGGTAAGTCGATTATCACCCCTTCGGAATACAAGCAGCAGTGGTCCAACTTCCGAGCCATGGCTGAACTAACGACTGCTGAGGTAGAAAAACATGGTGCTGATATGTTTCTGTTCCCGGATGACTGGGAATCTATCAAGCATTCTGCTGCCAGTAGTATTTCAGGAGACGGAAACTCGAATACATGCCTTAGCGGAAACAGTTCGCTCGTTCTAAACAGTGTTTCCAATACTGAACCAACCCGATCCAACAGTGGCTTTGTACGTCGTGTTCTGAACAATCCTCCTGAGGTTGGTAGTGGTGCTGCTGCTAACTCTCATGGCTGGCCCTCGCTTAACAAATCTACGTCGCAAGCCATTGCTCAAATGCGTGGCACCGGTGCTTTTAAGAAGGGTACGGCTCTCACGCAGGGTTCTACCCTTGGAGAATGGTTATATATGCTCAAGATTCGACTCGTAGATCTTCACTCGATCTTTAACGAGCTAGACCTTCTAGGAAATCCTCAGCTGAAGCTTGAGCTTAAGGTGCAGACGGGATACTCTGAAATTGCGCTTACTCCGCGTGCAACTGTCGCATCTCGTACTATGGCGCTAACCTCGACGACGCTTATCGCTGGTACGGTATGTCCTGTTATACTCGGTAGTTCCGTTTCACCTGCTGGTACTGCCGATGCTATGAACGCTGTTATTGGCGATGCTGGCAAGAGCGATAAGCTTCAGATCGCTTGGGGTTCGATTCACAATACGATTACGACGATTGCTACGTCTGGAAGCTACTTCCCGTTTACTCAGGGTCGATTGAACATTCCTTTCTATGATTTAGCCAACCCTACCGCTCTTGTGAGCAAGCCGATGAAGACCATTAAGTACCTAGACTGCTATTCGCAGTTGTTTTCGTCTGATTACGAACAAGACGTTCTCTATTCCTGTATCGGCATCGCACAAGAATGTCAAGTATGTAACGGATAGCGCCAAATAGCGTACCCTTCCCGAATTGAATACCTCCTCTCAAATCTGATAGAATGTGCTCAGTATACAAAGCTATTGTACCTACACCAATTTGTATACCTCAACCAAACCGTATAGAACGTTGAGTACTTATAATTTTCTTGAAATTTATGTGAAGTTTAGCATGTAAACATCTTTTGATTGGCTAAGAGATGTCTTGAAATTGAAAATCACCCTTTATTTTTCGTGTAAGTATTACTTTGTCAAATACGGCAAGCAAGATCCGGTTATTTTTATCTTTTTAAGGACCACAGTTTAAAAACTGACACTTGTCTTCGGTACTGTTTGCCATTTTTGTAACTTTACGCAAAATTACCGTTAGGTACCCAAAGAAAAATGGTTTTGGTTGTTGGTCTAAGTTCTGCTTGCTTCTAACGGCATGAGAGGCGTTGCGAACTAGCTCTGCGCAATCTATGGATGTCTCCATGGTTTGAAGACTGGTACATACGTTGGCAGGATGCCATCAAAGAGGTTTTGCAGAACGTAGCTAGCTCTACACACGATATTCCAGACTTGAATGTGTCGGAGCTACTTTGGTAGTATACCCCCTCCTATTTGTATATATTTCTAAATTTGACAAGTGTTCAATTCAATAGTATGCGGCATACAAATTGGCGTTTTCCGTTAGTAGCTATCCCGTATGCAAACACCAAGACAAGCAACTTCGCTTCTGCTCATCAGACTCAACAGTTCGCTAGTCTGTTTGACTCGGTCCCGTGGACTTGCCAGCCTGGTTCCTCGATTCGCGATTTCCAGGTCCAGGTCGGCATCAAGAATGTGTTCCAGGATGTACACTTGTATGACTGGCAGGCGTTCATGGATGAGTTTAGCAAGATTGGAGCTATCAACGGTGATCTATCGCGTGAGATCTCGAACGGTCTTATCGGTATCGACAAGTGGCAGACTGCTCAGCGCTTTCTCGTAGCTGATTGCTCGCGCATCAGTGAGCCTGATGTACCTCAGTCGATCAATGTATCTGGTGTAAACGTTGCTACTCAGGGATCGAACCTCTTGGTACTCGTTGTGTACGAGCGTACCCTTGAAATCGATCGCATCACAGGAGAAGTGTTCCGTGCGGACTGAGCTTGCTTCTCATGTGAAGGAAGCAGCTTTAATAATTAGTAAAAATGGATATTTATCCAATAATATAGATGAGTGTGATTCTTGAATTCGGACGATACTCCGGAAGAAGTATTCGCTCAGTATATAATTATGATCGTGCTTATTGTCGGTGGCTTGCTAGCAAGAATATTTTCTCAGAAGATTCTCCGATCGGTAAGTATCTCCAACTAAAGTTTGGATAATGAGCAAGGCTCAGACGTTGGCAGGGAGTCTGGCGACTCTAGCAGAGTAATTGTGATACGGCCTAGAATTCCATGGCACTAGTCGATTGACACCTGAACTGAATAATATAGCTTATGAGTTCTTGTAAGACCAGCATCGTAATTTTTTATGTATTTTATTTTTCAAAATAATGATGTGGCTACTTATATAGATAGCAATGAGTACATTAACTTTCGGCAAGCACAAATCGAAGACTATTGAGGAGGTATATGCTACTGATCCTGGATACTGTCGCTGGCAAACGACTCAAAAGCGTCTCGTAGATACTGATAGTGATATTGGTAAGTTTTTGGCTGACAAGTTTAGCAACGATGATGGATAGTTTGTCATGACGTTTGGTAAATACAAGTCCAAGACTATTAAACAGATCTAAGCCATCGATACTAGAAACCTAGAATGGTTGAGTAAAAATGAGTTGCCCAAGCTTAAGGCTGAGGTCGATAAGTTGCTGAAGTAAAACAATGAGTCGATTGACTCATCATAATTGTTTTAGCAGCACTCGAAGAATTCTTCAATGTCTTCGAACATCTGCATGCGAGCCATCATACGGTGGGGATGCATGGCTTCAGCGATTAGCGCTTCAGTGATTTGAGATTGGAATACCTGCTTGTGTGCAAGCTTGTGTTCATGCTTGACAATCTCTTCTCGCGCCAACTCATTCACCAAGCCCATTAGATCAATGGCGGAATCGACATCTGCTGTGCTATCATCATAGCTAAGTAGAGCTTTTGCTTCAGCAATCAATTCCTGAATGTTGATCGGACATGTTTCCTCGTACTGGACCTCAACCTCTGGCTAGGGTCCATTCAAGAACTGGAACTCATCTTCGAACTCGAACTCATACTCGAACTCGACCTCCTCAGGAATCTCATAGGCAGACTCCTCAGCGGCGAGCTCGGCGAAGTAAGCGAAGTCGTTGTTGTTGTTCATGGTTGTTGATGTTTGCACTGTATGCTCTTGGGGGTTTATATACTTAGTATTTACCTCTTTAAATAGAAAACTTTTCCTTCCAAATATTTGCTCTTTCTCATAAGAGCTTTCTAGAAGATATGCGCTGTCGATATATTGTTCAAACAGGTGAAAAAGTTCCGAAAATTCAACCCCATCATATCGCGCTACTGACAGGTGCTCTGTCTCTTCCACAGCGATTTGGTGATTTGAAGCGTTTAATATTAGAGACAGTTCCTCTGCACGTTCTATGTGCGCTGTTTTAAAAAATGGTAGGATAACCGGTATCCTCTCGCTACTCACGTAAATAAATCCCATAGTTAGTACCCCCATTGAATGCATCACCAGCACCACGCACCTACTCCTCTGCGTTGCTGCTCGCCGCTGCCGCGGTGCTACCCGCCACCATGAAACCTGTAGGCACGTAAATAAACCCCATAGTTAGTACCAATAAGGCCATGCATGTCACGATACATTGTTGATCGGTAACTGGCAGCGCTTCTCCGCCTTCGAGCCCCAGCGCAGCAAATTAGTGGGTTGAAGTCGTGGGTACCGCTGTTCTGTTTAATGAGAAACACGACAGCTCATCCCACTTTACGACCTTTCAGGACACTAGGATTGGTACATGGATTGGTAGATAGACTTGCATTCACACTATACTAGTACTGAGCTGTCCTTTATAAGCTCAAACACGACAACCCATCCCTACAGACTGGTACACGGGCTGATAAATAGACTTGACTTTACTATACCATAACGGCAAGGGTGTTGCCCTGCTTAAGACAAACCAATACAGCTCAGCACGTCACTTCTTCGTTACTGACTAAATGATAGGCAATTTGTATTGTAGACTACAGTTTTCTATGCTATAACCTGCCAGTGCGAGGTCCAGCCAGCGACGCCAGCTAGCGCGGTCCAGCCAACGGGGCCCAGCTAGAGCAGCCCAGCCAACGGCGCTCCACAACAGCATATTGGCTCAGGTATCGCCAGCTAGTACGCATACAGCTAGCTAGCATTCGAACGCGATATACGCGCAATATATTCTGATTAAATGTGCTTTGCATTGCATTACCTCGTCATCAAGTCAAGTCTGCAACACTACCTGGTTCTGCATGTAGCATGCTGTTAGCACGCTGTTACATTTCACTATATTATCGGCCGGTATTCGGCGGTATCGGTCAGCGCGCGCGCGTGCTGGTAGTAACTAGTTTTGTAATGTACACAATTGAAGTAACAGCAAGTAAAGTAAAAATAAAACCGGTATTTTGAAGACGAAGTAGCGCTAAAAAGTAAGTGAAGTAAGCAAAGTACACCGTTCACCCTAATTAGTCGTGTGGCCTAAATAGTCGTGCACCTTTGGTAATCATTCCACCGGTTTTGAAAAATACTTTTAGTTTCACCTTAAATTGAGAAAAAAGACCGGTTTCCGGTAGATCTCGGCAATACGAATTGTGTGGTATATTTTGTTTTCAGTAAATACGAATTATTTCCGAGAAAACTGAAATTCAAAACAGGGTGAGGCGCCCTTCAGGTCGTACACGGTAAATAGTCATGGCACGACTAATTATGGTGAACGGTGTAACGCAAAAATGAAATAATAAATGGACTCGGGGGGACAAAAATCGGTCTGTATAATACAGGGTTTAATATGGGGAAATAAATAAAATTAGGCCTGGGGGGGGGGCAATAGTACCCCTGGGGTACAAATCCGAAAGCACGTGTACTAGACACAGTCCTAACGAACTGTGAACTTGCTCCACAGGCGGGTCAGCTCTGAAAGTATGACATTTATGGTCCTGTGCTTCTTTGCATTGAGGTCCGAAGACGTTCTACATCGAGTTGCCGCCATGAATACTTGGGTGGCGAATACGGTAGGTCCGTAAGTGTTGGCTTTGGCTCCATGGTCCTAGCCTAGGACCTAGAAATCCCTAGCAACGTATTCTTCCTCGGCAACTGTCCGCAGCACTGGCTCATGCCGCGAGTGTCAGCCGTTGTACATCATGGCGGAGCAGGCACTACAGCCGCTGGCCTACTCGCTGGTAAGCCTACCATCATCGTCCCGTTCTTCGGAGATCACCCGTTTTGGTGCCAAGCCGTCGTCAGTGCTCGCATGGGTGTGGCGCCTTGCCCCATTGCCCAACTGACAACTGAGGTACTGCGCAAGGCTTTCGTGGATCTCCAGAACCCAGAGCTACGCACCAGGGCCGAGGCCTTGCGAGACCCCACGCAATAGGAGGACGGCGCCGAAGAGGCCGTACGCAGCTTCTACTGGCATCTACCAGCGCACGGCATGTGGTGCGACCTGGACCACCAGCGCATTGCCACCCAGTGGAGTGACCACGTGTCGCGTAACCCGGGGTGTTTCCAAAGACGAAAGTTTATTAATGAGGAAAAGAAAATCAAACAAATGTAGGGACCTGAACCAACTTCTCTCCTGTTGTTGTTCTTGCTCTCTTGTTCAGATCCGGTCTTCATGCAGTCGTGAGCGTGTGCCTCCGTCCACTTACGGCCTGTGCCTGTGCACCCAGCCACTCGAATCTCCTGCCGCAATCCTTGCCGTAGCTCATAGGTGCCGCGCGTGTGCCCCGTTGCTGCTGTCCTTCTTACTGGGCTCCGCCACGCAGTACGCTGCAACTTGACGTCGCGGCCGAGCCCAAGCTTGATCTTAAGGCGTAAATATGGCGACACTGGCCTCCAAAGCTTTTTCACGGCAGCCACGTCTCGCTACTCGTCGAGTTGAGCACTAAGCTCGTCATCGCCACTTGAGTCGACGTAGTCTCGCACCTTTGCAGGCACATCCTGGAGAAGTGTCGCGAGAGGTTCCCAGGAATTCTCGATGGCTTGCAAGCCCAACCACGATACGAACAACTCCCAGCATCCGAGCTCCTGGTTGAAGCGATGATTAGTGAATTTCTCCACGCCGAGCAGCATACCTTAGCTGGAAACGAGCTCCAGCAGTTCCGTTGTCGTTTCCAGCTCTGCGTCGGCGTAATACTTCAATCGGGAAGCGTGCACCTCGTTTTTCCGTCCCGCCACTAGATGTTCAATTTCAAACGAGTGTGGTAGAGCGGCAACCACCTTGAAGGGGCCAACCCAGTGACCCAGCAGCTTGTGATTTGGCAGGCACTGGTCGATCCTTGACCATAGAACAAAGTCGCCGACGTCGAAGTTGGCAGGAATGCCGTTGTGCGCTGCCATGTCACGCAGCCTCTGTCGCTTCTTCACGTCGACCACTTCTTGGTGAATTTCGTACAACGACGCACGGAGTCGGTCCACATGCTCACCAATGTCACCCAGCTCAACCACCATCGCATCGAGAGTCGACGAAGCCGGCAGCGCCGTGAACACTTCGACTGGGGCCCGGCCTGCAAGCGATTGAACCCGAGTGTGGTTCAGGTTTGCCTGTACGGCTGGCAGCAGATACGGCCACTCGTGCTGGTCTAGACCATACTCCATCAACAGCGCCCTGAACACCTGAAGCACGTCCTTATTCAGTCTCTCCACCGTTCCGTTGAGCCATGGCGAGTAGACTGGCGAAAAGCTGAGCTCCATTTTCAGCCGCGCAGCCAGATGCTTCATCATTTCGTTTCGGAAGTGCGTGCCTTGGTCCGACCGCAGTGTCTTTGGCATCCCATATCGTGCATACCAAAGGGTAAGTGCCTCCGCTGCGACGTAGGCCGTTGACGTGGCACACGGGAAAAGCTCACAGAAATGTGAGAGCCCATCTTTCACCACTAGTAGATAGCCCGAGTCGCCGAAACCTTCGCCGAGCGACAGGAAATCCCAGTGAACTACCTCGTTCCGCTCATTTGGCTGTAGCCGCGGGCCATACGGACGCGGAATTTGACGCGGGCCCTTGAAATGTTTGCAGAGTAGGCACCGTCGGACAAATTTCGCCACTTTGTCCTCGAGCTTCGTGATGTAAAACCGTTCTTTCAGCGCCAACAGCATCGGTTTCTGGCCGCGGTGTCCTTGCGAGCCGCAGTGGGCAACCACGAAAATCCGAGCGATCAGGTCCTTGACGTTACTCGGGATCCACATGCGGTTGTCGATCAGGACCACACCATCCACCTCCTCCGAAGCAATCTGCAGCCGCGAACGCTCACGAGAGGCGGCCTGCTGAGCAGCTTGAACGTCGTCACGAGTAGGAACGGATTCTTCCCGCGCTATGACCGATTTGTGCGGGCAGGCACAAGGCAGTATCAGGAGTGGCAACAACTCATTTATGAGAACACTCTGTCCGCTCAGGCTCAGATGCGCGCTGATCGACTGCTTCAGCTGATGCACGATCAAGCGCCACCTTGTGTTCCGCGGAAGGAGTATTCTAGGCCGTCCAAGATTATGCTGCGGTCAACCCCTGGTACCGCTGAAGTTCGGATGGTGCAGGTGAACAAGAAGCCCAAGAAGCTGCGAGTCATCTTCACCGAGGAAGATACTGATGAGCGGAGCCTGGACGCAGCTGAGCCAAGGACCAGAGTCGTTGGAGTGCAGACTGAGCCGGACCGAGATGAAGATTCCCGCGTTCAAGATGCTAGTGTCGACACTCGAGGCCTTTGTCATGTGGCGAGTGCTGTCATAGCCGCCACGCCTTTGGGGGACGACGCAAGCTCTGAACGCAGATCTCCGGGTGTTGCTGATCAGCCAAAAACCTTGAACGCAGATTTGGATGGAGATGCAGTTTCAGACTTTCCGAGCCAGGGCTTTGTGAGTACGCCAGTACGGAGGTTAGAGGCAGAGTACGCGAGGGTCATGCGTGTGTCAGCGGAAGAATTGGATCTGGAACCGGCTGTGTATGTTCGTGAAGGCAGTGAGTCGATGGCTCAATTGCGCGATCAGCTAGCCAAGCTGCCCGAACTTCAGGACCTGAGCCCAGAGTGCAAAATTGATGAAGCAGATGTCGACGAGCCAGGTGTCTCGACGCCGGAGATGGAAGCGAAGCTGAGGAAGATCTTGAAATACCATCGCAAGATTTTCTTGGGCGACGGAAATGCTGCTCCAGCCCCTGCTCGAGGTGTAGTTTGCGATCTGGATGTTTGAAATGTGCGGCCAGTGGCTCAGCGTGCGCGATAAATTGCTCCGCATTTGCTGGTCAAGGTTTATGAGTTGCTCAAGAAACGCCTTGAAACGGGACTGATTGAGCACTCTGAATCGGAATGGGCTTCGCCGATCGTCATCGTACTCAAGAAGAACGGAGTCGATATCAGGATGTGCATTGACTACCGCGTGGTGAACGCGTTTATCAAGCTGTCGCGGTACACGCTTCCCCTGATCGACGATCTTTTGATTGGGTTTGAGTCGGCAATGTGGTTTATGAGTTCGGACATGGCTAGTGGCTTCTGGGCGGTGTTGATGACTGAACGCGCAAAGCGGATATCGGCATTCATTTGCCCGTTTGGGCATTTTCAGTGGATCAGGATGCCGTTTTGACTCAAGAACGCGACCCTCATCTACCAGGCTGTGATCAACAACTGCCTGAGGGGATTCGTGCGTCTGCCACCTGAGGAAGAGGCTCTCGTCGACCGTGATGTGCTGGAATTCCTGAAACTGGATGGACCTGACGCTGACCGCACACGCGTTCAAGACCCTGAACGCACATGCGATGAAGACTCTGAACGCAGTTCGCCTGTGGTCCCCGTTTTGACAGATGAGATGACGGTGTTTCAGCATAACATCCCGGCCCCCTCGCAGATGGGTCCAGTGCTTGGGCGCAGATCCTACATCGACGATATTGCTCATGGTGCTCCGACCTGGGATCAGCTATGTGAGGGCTTGAACGTACTTTTATTCAGGTTGCGGTATTGGAATATTTCAGTGAGCCTCCCAAAGAGTGAGTTTGGCAAGCTGACCATTCCATACCTCTCCCATGAAATCAGCGCTGAAGGAATCCGAGTTACGCCCAAGATCGCAAAGTCCGTTCAAGACTTGCCGTTTCCATCTACGCTCAAGGGGGGGCCAAAGTTTCTTATGGAGCTTGAACTACTACAACAAGTTCATTGAGGACCTCCCAGTGGTGGCCGCCTCGCTCTATGAGTTGACCGAGGAGCAAGTGCGTTCAGGCAGAAACATTGAGCGCGCAAAAGAGGCGTTTGAGATCCTGAAACGCAAGATTGTCTCGACCCCGTTGTTGCGTCACCCGGACCGCACGAAGCAGTTCGTCATCATTCCACATGCTAATCCATGGGCTGCTTGCGCAGTTTTGGGTCAGATGCATGATGGAGTGATTCAGCCTGTGCGATTGACTGGACGCATATTGAACGAGTTCGAGCTGCGTTACCACATTGCGGAGAAGGAGGTGTTGGCGATATTGAGAGTGTTGGAATTGTTCCGGCCGCTGATCTACGGTTCAGCGTCCCCTGTAGTGATCTACACGCGGTACTCAGTGCTGAAATGGTTGCTGAACTCGAATTCCATCGAAGGTCGCTGCCTGAAATGGGGTTTGGAACTGTCTAGGTGGTCGTTGGAGATTCGTCGCGTTCAACGAGACGAGGATGGCCTTGCTGCTATATTAGGGGAAGGCATTACTCCACGTGAACACTTGGACGCGGTCGAGGAAGAGCTGATTCCAGCCAAGGGACGCGTCAAGAAGCCACCTGCGGTCAGAATTGAAATGCTTGAATCAGACTATCAGGGTGTGGTTCTCAGCTTCGATGGTGCGGCCAAGACTTCAACGCGTGTTGGGAGCTGCGAGTGTGTCCTCTGGCACTTACCTGGTTGGGAAGTCCTGGACGCACGTGGGTTCATCCTGGAAGATGTGACTGTAAACAACGCTGAATACCATGGACTGCTGAATGGGCTGAAAATGGCATCTGAACGAGGAGTTGAGGACCTGGTCGCAGTTGGTGATTCAAGGATCGTGATTCAGCAGGTTCAAGGCTTAATAAACTGCAACCAGCCCAACCTTAAGCGCAGGCTAGCCGAATATGAAGTCATCCGGACGAAGTTCAAGACTGTGCAGCTGGTGCATGTCAAACGCCTCTACAATCAGGCTGCTGACTACCTGACGTCGAAGACTCTAGCGTTGGGCAAGTCGTGGCAGGTTGAGGACGCCGAAGAACGCTTGCACCTACGACTCGTGTCGCGGATAGCTAAGTAAGTGATGAAGCCCTCTGGGACCCCGAGCGAAGCGCAAGTGCGTGCAAGGTCTGTGGATGCTGATCTGGATGGAGTGCGTTCAGACTTTGACTCGGCTCCTTTGACACCTGCGGCCAAGGTTTTGGCTGTCATGACCCGTGCGCGTTGAAGGGACGAAGCTGGTTCAGGCGAACCAATGGGGCCTGTGGAATATCAGGCAGAGCGATGGTGGCGTATCAAGGTTCATCAGGATGGAGACATCTTCCTGACGCAGATCACGAAGTATCTGAAGGGGGAACTTGATCAATTCTCCCACGCTCAGGTCAAGAAGATCACCAAGTACGTCGACCAGTACGTCCTGGATTCCAGAGAAGTCTTGTATCGCTTGGACGCAGCTACCCGGGAGTGCCCTCGTGACAAGGAGTCAGAGCTGAGATCGGTTGTGCCGACAGACTTGCGTCCAGACATCCTGCACTATGCACATGAAGATGTTCAGGGCGGACACCAAGGCATAACTCGGACGTATGAAAAACTGCGTTCAGAGTTTTACTAGCCGCGGATGTACGCTGATGTGGAAGTTTTCGTGAAGGAGTGCACTGACTGCACATCCGCCAAGGGACGACCACTGAACTCAGGACCTTCGCCCGGCAACATTGAGCCTAGTCGCCCGTTCGAAGTGGTGTCCATGGATTTCGTCACGCACCTTCCAAAGTTTGAACGCGGAAATACCTTTTTGCTCCTGTTTCAGGATGCATTTTCAGGCTATGTGATGTGCAAGCCGATGAGCTCGACAACTGCTCAGGACGTGGCCGAGGCGTACCAAGAGCGTGTTTTCAGACAGTTTGGTGCCAGTTCCAAGTTGCGTCATGACCAGGACCCAAGGTTCATGAGTGAAGTATTTTCCCGATTCAGGGATTTGCTTGGCAGCAGACAGCGGGCAACCCTAGCTTACCACCCTCAGGCAAATGGCCAACAGGAACGGTCCGTCCAGACGGTGATTCGCAGTGTCCGAGCCTACGTCGCTGAATCTGACCAGAGCGACTGGGACGAGCACGCTGAACGACTGATGTTTGCGCTCAATACGTCTTTTGATGCGACCACGCTTGATACGCCGTTTTACTTGGTCCACGGTTGGGACGCTCAAGGGACGCTTTCAGCGATGCTCGGACCCTAGCCGTCGAGTGTGCCTGAGCGCAGCGCGTATGAGTGGCGTCGCAAGATGCAACATGATTACAGTTACGTTCAAGCCTGTGCGGAGGACCTGCAGAAGAAAGCGAAGAAATTACGTTCAGAGGTTCAGACCCTGAAATGGCAAGAATTGTCTGACCACATCAAGGCCGGGTTCAAGGTGGGAGACGCCGTCTGGCTCTACATACCCAAGGTTCAGCCAGGTCTGAGCAGGAAGTTGGCTCACATGTGGCATGGCCCGTTCCGGATTGAAGAGATGCACGACAATTTTAGAGTCAAGCTCAAGGTGAAGGACACTGGTTATCGCGTGAACCCCTGGGTGCACGTGAGCTGCTTGAAACCGCGAGCACTGTTTCCCAAATGTCCGACTGAAGAGGTGGAGGTAACTGAGAACAATGATTTCGATGCCGCCTTACTACCCGAGGACAACTGGGAGCCTGATGCTCTGAACGACGAATATGAAGTGGAGAAAATCTTGGATCTGCGTTGGGTCAAGCGCACTCGGGCCTCTCGACGCACTCAGGAGTACAAAGTCAAGTGGAAAGGATACGATGAACCAGTGGCTGCCAGTCACTCAGCTGAACTGCGGTGCCCTGCTGTATGCGTTCAACCAGGGAGCTAAGGCGCGAGCCCGCTTCCAGGCCATGCAGGCTGGGGATGATCATCCAGGCGTGTAGCGCTCGCTGAGCCCACATGCCTGACCGCAGACCGCTGAACATGTGAACGTCACTGAACCTGCCCCTGAAACTGACTGTACACTGAAAACAAGACCGAGTGACTCTGACCGCAGACAAATGTGTGGACGCGGATTTGACTGAACGCAGATGTTGATGACGGTGAACATTACGAAGTGGAGATGTGGAGATCGGATTATGGAATTATTTACGCTGTGGAGAAGGCAAGTGGAGTGTGGCCAGCCCGCCATGCGTTGATGTGACTTCGGCGGAGAAGTGCCTGAACAAGAGCTGAGGGACGTGGCTGAAACCCCGTTTCAAGCAAAGATGATTGAGCGCAGAAGATTGAAGAAGGTTGGATCAAGGTGGAGAACAGACAAGAGGGTGTGAAAACATGTATTCCTGAACTCTGAGTGGCTACGCTACGACATGCAAATGGAGTAATGCTAAAGCTGCGTCCAGAGTCCGGGATGAAGAAGTGCGGCTAGCGATTCACTGATCCCTCTCGCCCGTGTCACCCTCCTCAACTTACCCCTCCTCGACTTCCTCCTCTTCGACGTCTTCTTCTTCGACGTCTTCCTCTTCCTCGTCTTCCTCGTCATCGTCATCGAACTCGCTCATCTCGTCGTCGTCTTCGTCATCCTCCTCCTCGGGCTCGTTGTCCAGGCGGTCAGGGACGATCCAGTTGCGAGCGCGTTGAGGGAGTGGAATCGAGTGGTTGGCGCGGAGATCGGCTGAAACGTACTTGGTGCGTTCAACCTCGTTGGCTGCAGTCGCCCAAAGAGTGCGGGCAGGCTCACGCTCGTCCAGCTCGACCAGCTGCTGACGCAGGGGCTTGGGCTCGCCGTCTGAATCAACGACACGAGAGTCCTCCCAGATCCAGTTGCAAATACGCTGCGGCAGCGGCCAGATGCCAGGTTCTTGAAACAGCGTTTCAGGGAAATCCTTGATCTTGACCAATTTCTTGAGATGGGTTTTGTACCGGCGGATCTATGAGTCTGTGCGCCTGCGGCGAAGCTTGTAGAGTCTCTGAGAAGCAGCATCGCGCTCAAAGTTGATCGTGATCCAGTGCAACAGGTCCCACCACGCTTGGCAGAACTTCTCCATGAACTCGACGTGCTTCTTGAGACCGCGCATGGTATCAGCGCTCAACTTGGACGCATCATGGCAGTACAGCACTTTTGTGCGTTCAGCGAACATGACGTTCCAGGGGAGCTTTTTCTGGATCATCTTGCCCCTGGGAAGAGCGTCACGTACAGCTCCATGCTCCAGCGTTCCTCGAGAAACTTCATGTCATACTTCTGCGGCGCGTAATTTGGGAACCCGATGGTCTGAGGCTTGCTTTTCTTCTGATAGAATCACATCTTGATCCCGGAACACATGTAAGACGTGGAAGTCGCTGGATCGGGCGTTTCAATCACGCTCAGCTGTTCCAACGTCAGACGCTTGAACGAGATTCTAGCCAGAGCAGTAGCCTTACGTGGAGACTCCATCAGCTGCTCGATGACCTTGGCCGCAAGTCGCGCTTTCTTGACCGCAGATCCAGACTGGGTTGGTTTGGCCTTGGATTGATTCCGCGGCGAGCGACGAAGCAATGAACCTTCTTTTTGGTTGGCCGCACCCGATTCAAGCATGTCGAGTTTGCGCTTGGCCGCAAGAGATGACTGCTTCGCTGGAACCACAGTTTCAGGAACCTTGGGTGCAACATCCGAATCGTCAGGTTCAACATCGTCTTCTTGCTCATATTCGGAGTCCCCGCTGCTACTGGAAGAGAGCAGCTCGAGTCCATCTCGCGTCCTGGTATGTGAAACCGTTCCGCATTACATAGCGCAAATCATGACGAAGTTTTCGCCAAACATGAGGCCCCGGGAGAACTTCTCGCGCTTCATCCTCGGAACGAGCGAGCTTGGACGACGCTGGAAGAGCCAACTGCGGACTGGGTCGATAGTTGCTTGGACGCAGCTGGCGTTTCTTCAGGAACTCATCCCAGGACAGTTTCTTGCGACAACCCTTGGACGCAGATTTTCCCTTGGACGCAGATTGCTTGGACTTGGATTTGCTGGACCCCGCGTTGCCCCCAGTGAGATCAACCGTTTTCTTGAGCGGAGGAACAAGCTTGGACGCAGAGTCGCCACCATTGGCTTTCTTGCGTTCAGTTGCGTAGTCACCACAGACACACTGTGGCTGGTCGATGGCCACCACGTGGATGTTTGTAATCCCGCCAGCAGGAGGCGTAGTGCCATCCGCAAAGTGTCCGAACAGCTCCTGAAGGCGCTTCCAGTTCCCTGCTACCGTGACTTGTGGTTCGCGATCCAAGAAATCGCTGAATGCCCATGCGCCCAAAGTCTTCTCGCGAATCTCTCGACACAGAACTTCACACAAAGCTTCAGACGTCTGCAGCTGGTCCTTGAGTTCGGCAATTTCGTCTGCACGCGCATTCAGTGCATGTTGGTGGTCTTCTTGCTGACGGATGAAATTCTGCTTGAACGCGGATTCGCCATCCTGCTTGGCCGCAGTGATGCGTTCGACCTCCTCCTTCCAGTACACTTCCATGACAGCCCATTCGCGCCGAAGACCCTCGTTCACGTCCAGCAGATCCACCGTGTGCTGTGCAGAAGTCTGGCCGTTGGACTCGATCGCCAATTTCAGCTGCCGGTATTTGTTGAGAAGCCGTTTCAGGAACGACACCGTGTTGAAAGTGCGTTCGGCAAGTCGCTCAGCTCGTAAGACACTGAGCACCGAAGCAAACTCACGAACGACTTCAACATGGACGCGAGGCTTATGCCCGACGGGAGACTTTGTCGCACCTCTAGCATGCTTGAACGCACATTCGGCCCAATGACTGATTCAAGGTCTTTGTAGTCCTCGTCGGTGAGGGTTTCGAGAGTCTGCAGCACCTCCAGCCCACCATATCCATCGTGAAAACGCGCTCCATTGTGAACCGCGTCTGCAGACGCCGGGACTCCAACCACTCTGAGCGGCATATCGGAAGCGATGGGAGGTGACACCAGCCAGCAAACTGGACGCTGAACACTCTCGTCGGCGAAGTTGAAGCTGGACGCAGGAACGAGCTTGGACGTGGAGAGACCTGCATATTCGGCGTTTGAAACGAGCCGGCGTTCATGCCACCCAGGCGCGAGGAATGAGTGCTCATCTGAAGCCTTATCGCCTGCGTTCAAGGTAGCCGAAACTATGTTCAGGCTGCTCGACCCGTTGGGATCTGCGTTCAGCCGATCATCACTCTCCTTGGCCTCTGTATCCACTGTGGAGCCCTCCATGACCTCATCGCCATCCGCGTCGACGTGCTTCTCGCCGTTGTCGCCCTCCTTGTCGTCGTTGTTGCCCGCGAAGCGCACTCGACGCTCGTTGCCCGAAGGAGACGCCTCCGCCGGTGTTTCCTGCGACTCAGACGCCTTGCCGGCGTCCCCCGATTGGTTGGCGCGCTCCTGCGCGTCGTCCCCCTGCGTGCGTGCCTCTGGCGCGTCGTCCCCTACCGGTGTCATGCTGCTGTGCCGCTCATGTGACCGCGAGGTTGCCGTGTTGGTCGGTGCCGCGCGTTTCAAGAAGATTTTGCAATGAAAGCTGGAATGAAGTTCGCGGTTGGAGACGAGTCTGGCCGCAGATTTGACAGTTGCTGACCAAGCGAGACAGGGCGCAGAAGCATTCGCAAGCGTGGCAGTTGGCCAACTGCCCGCGCTTCAGAACTGCGTTCAAGCTCAGCCCCGTCAGACTTCGGTCCAGTCATGATGTGCCAGCTCGGATTGAATTTCCTCTATAACAGACCATGACTGGAAGGGACGGTTGTGACGAGACTGAACGAGGTTTTACCTCAACCGGTCATCACCTGTCTACCGACCTGCTTGAATCCGCCATTCTGATTGGCCGAGACTGAACCCGGACACGGCTGTACACCGTGTGACAAGATCTGAGCTGGAATTCGGCTGTGTTCCGCGGAGCGAAGTGCGATCAAGCCTAGGATGGGCCCTTCAGGCCTGGAAGACTGCGTTCAGATGAGAAACCCTGAACGCAGTCGATCCGTCCAGGCCGCCCCCGTCCTGAAGCATGTTGACCCATTGAGGCCGACGAAAACGCCTGCACGAACGTATCGTGTGTGGTGTCCCGCCTCGCCTAGGCCCTGAACGCACATCGAATTCGTGTACCCGGAGCTCATCCACCCCAGTGAAGTCGCGTACATGGTGTCCAGACCGCTGGCCACCCGAAAGAAGTCCCGCCAAGTGCCCCACGACCCAGTGAAGAGTCAACCTACCCTTGGCCGCAAGGCCTTGAGTATGGTTTCAGCCTTGGGCGCAAGTTGCCTTTGGCCGCAGACTTTAGGCGCACTGCGTTCAAGCCTGCCGACTCTGAAACCCGGTTTCAAGGAATGCGGGTTCAAGGAAACCTTGGCCACATGCGGCCAAGGTTTCTCAAGAGCCAGTCATGCACAAAGACACGGGCACATTGAAGCTGGGCAAGAATCCAGTGGGAAGTTTCTACGTCAACAGTTCCAGTATACTCAAGTCAAGATATTCGCCAGACGCATGGCGAAGAACACAGAAGAACGCTACGAGTGAGATACCTTTACACAAAGCCTAGCGATAGTCTAGCAGATAACAATCAGAGAGTTCGTTTTACCCCCTACTGCGCAAGTCATCGAGGAATCGGGTCCGCTCTCTTTAAGGACAAGGGCAGTGCGGAGCTCCCCACACACATTCAAGTCCAGTTACGTGGGGATCAGTCTGCTCCGGCTGCTGAAGTGATCCACGTATTTCATTTCCCAGTTGGGCCCATTGCGTTGAGGTAAGGGTGGTGTCCCATTTCATGTTAACGATTGATAGCTCGGGTGGTTTGGTAGCAGTCGCCCCCGAGAACAGTTCGATTGACTGAATTTAGGATCGGATTGTATTTGGTCTGTATATTTCCCTCATCTGAGGGTGGTGCGCGTGTGAAAGTGCGTTCAAGGTTGACCAGTACCTTGATCGCAGATTAGTTGACTGGTGTACGATCCACCGCCCAAGGGTCTAAGAATAAGTGGCGGCTGTGTGTTTGTGTATAACTCTGCATTTGTATTGGTTATCTAAAAGTGGTGTGTATTTCTGGGGTTCTAACTTGTGGTAGTAACCTTGATCCTTCACCCACGCTTCAAGCTTCAGTCATTTCGGAGAAGTGCGTTCAGACAAGTGAACGCTACGCTCAACGAACTCAAGGCTTTCAACCCCACAGACAACTCACCTGGTAATCGACCCAGGCTCCCCGAAGATAAACGACACCGATAGGTATTCACAAGGCGGCACGCCACCCTGGTCGCATTTTCCTCAGAACCTGCGTTCAAGGAAATCTGCGCTCAGGGTTTACCTTCCCAAAAAGGTTTGCTCGTCTACCCTTTCTGGGCTATCGCTATACACCTGGGCGTAAGAGGTTTCACCGACCTCGTCACAGTCATGTAGGATGCCCTTGCTCGAAATTAGACGCCCGCATCACAAGATCTCTAGCTCGAACAGCGAGGACTTGGCCATGTTGAGCTTGAAGTTGGCATCGCGAACGATCTCGAAGAAAGCGCGGAGAGTCACCAGGAAATCCTCCACGGTTGGTGCAAACAGAATAACGTCATCTACCCACACGAGCTCCGAGTGAGGTATTAGGGGAGCCAGCTTGGTCTGCACTTGGCTCTGGAAGTGTAAGGCCGAATCTATCGCTCCTTGCGGGACCCGATTCGGTGTAAATACACCGTCTGGCGTAATGAAGGAGAACATTTCTCGACTGGCCTCGTCCAGCGACAACTGCCAGAAACCCTGCGTGAAGTCGACTCGCCCGAAGACCTTCTTGCTCTGGAAGCCATCGGTCGTCGTGGCGACAGAGGGCATCGTGCCCGCTATGGGAACCGTCATGCCGTTGACGGGTCTGTAGTCGATAGTCAGCCGGAACTTGTCCTGCGTACCAGGTTTGCGTACCAGGTTTGCGTACCGGCACGACAGCGCTCGCCCAGCGAGACGAATTGTTCTGCACAACCAGCCCGTTATCCACCAGTGTTTGCACATACTCGCGAATAAATTGGGCTTGTAGCGGCGCATACTTGCGCGGCGCGCTTCGGTATGGTACCGCATCCGCTCGTAGCGTGACCCGAAGAGGCTCGGCGTTAGCAGGCGGGTCCGAGCCCAGGCCCTCACCCCACACGTCAGGATATATCTCGAGTATCTCGCGCAGCGTGCCGAGGTGCTCTGGCGGCATGCCATTGGCTGCAGCTCGGTCGAGTAGCGGGGCAAACCCGTTGACAAGTCCAGCGGCGTCTTGGGGGACTGGAATGGCGTCACCTACGGGAAACTCGTCCGTTTCATCCTCCAGCAGGGATGGGCCAGCCAATTGGGCGAGCTGCTGCTCAACATCAATACCGAGGCCCTTCAAGACGTCACGGCCTAGCAAAAACCTCGTCACCTGCTCCCGCCAAAATTAGACACGGCACCGCGTACAGCGATACCCGACCCGCCAACTCCAAATCCAATAGGACTTCTTGGTCACACAACTGGGTACGTCCGTCGGCCATCACGGCTTCCACAGCATGCAGGAGTGTCGCCGCCTGGAGGCTGGGCTGCATGGCACGAAGCGAGTCGAACTCATCACGGGGCACAACGCTCTTGTCAGCACCCGTGTCAGGCGAGTAGGGCATTTCCAAGAGCCCATTGATACGGACTGATCCCGATGGGGGTAGCGTACCGCGCAGCCTTCGACCTAACGGCGCCCGAACGCTGCTCCTTAGCCTCGCGGAACTTCCTCCGCGCCTCTTCCCGTTGCATCCCCGTCGCGGTAGGGCAGTCCTTGAGCCAGTGGGGTCCCTTGCAGACCAAGCAGCCGTCATGTGGAGGAGAGCGTGTCGGTTGCGTGGCCCGCGTAGGCTGCGAAGTTCGCGCTGGTTCTGGCGGCGCCGACGCGATGGGCGCGGTCGAGCGCGTCGAGCCACTCTTGCTGGTGCTGACCCGCTGCGATTTCTGTTCCGGTTTTGCCGACTTGGAATCCTCTCTTCCAGCATAACCCTGCGACATCCGCTGAAACCGCTGTTGCACAGTCGCATGTTCCAATATCAAATCAAAGAGGGCGACACCATCGGATTTGCAGTCACGCCTCTCTAAGTCGATAAGTTGGCTGATCTGAGCCTTCAGCACGGGGGGCTGCAGATTCTCAACCAGTAGACGACAACGAGCCTTCATCCGGCTCACCTGCCCCGGTCAGCCCTTGGGGTCCATTGTCCTCCACGATGCCATTGAAGTCCTCATAGTAGCGGAAGATCTTAGCGTCACAATCATCGATCGATAGGTCCATCTTCAGCTGTTGGCGGAACAGAGAGGTGACATCGGGCACAAACTCATTCTTGGACGTGCGACAGCGTGCCTGCACTGGGTCCACAAGTCGAAGACACTCTTCGGACGCGCAACGCAATTTGCCGTCTTACTGTCTCCGTGGAGTTTAGTGGTGCAACGAGTCAAGGAAAAGGATTGCGCCTTCGCGCAGCTTTTACAGTCGACGATTACAAGTTTCGTTGACCTCGAAGACTCGTTGGCACCTGTGACCTCTCGAGCCAAAGGCTCGCCGAGTGTTCGGATGGATCCGCATTTGCTTTATGCACGGTTGCCAGGTACCTACAGTGGCTACGTACTTTCGTTTGATGGCTCGGCGAAGACCGAGAAGCATGGTGGCTACGGCAGTTGCGCCTGGATACTATGGCGACTTCCGGAATGGAGTGTAGTGATCGCTGCGAGTGCGTATCTCGAGACCACGACTGTAAACTTCGCTGAGTACACCGGAATGAACAACGGGGTCTCTGCCGCCCTAGAACATGAGGCCGAGGACTTAGTCATCGTCGGGGACTCGAGACTCGCAATCCAGCAATCCCTAGGGGTGATCGCTTGCCGTAAGGAGTCGCTGATGGCACAACTGAACAAGCACAAGGAACTGACCGCGAGACTTCGGTCCGTGAAGTACCTACATGCTATCCGAGAGTTCAATGCAGCTGCAGACTCTTTAGCGAGCGAAACCTTGGAGAAGAAGGTGTGAACAGCGAAGACCGAAAACGAGAGTTGATGGAATTGAATCGGATCCGAGAAGTGCTCTATGAACCGTCAGCCGAAGCCTCCGAAGCTTCTGAAGAAGTTGTAACGCGTCACGTGAACTCGATACGCGTGATGGATACGCGCGACAGTGACCGTAGTAAGAATTTTTTCGATTTTGTACGGGATACTGGACATGTAGCCGCGGTAACGAGGCAACAAGCCCGCGCGCGTGCGAAACAAGTACGCTTTGCCGATGAAACTTCGGGTGATGAACCAGAAGAGGGAGCCGAAGGAGCCGAAGCTAATAATGTCAGCAACGAAGAGTCTAACGAACTTCCAGACCAACCGAGACCTGATGCAACGGTGGTCCATGAACCGAGTGCTGACGACATCGACCCACTAGTTGTGCAGGAAGAACGGCGCAGGCGCATTGGCACAGCCCAGGATGAGGAGCTCCGGTGGTCAAACCTCAAGACGGTGCTAAAGGGAGACGAAGCGAAGCTTGCCTACAAAGCTGCACGCGAAGCCTGCAAGATGGCTGACAAGTTCGTGTTAAGCGAAGATGGCTTGCTGTATTTCCTCGGTTCGAACCGTCGGTGGGGTCGCGACCGGGCCGAGGAGACGACACTACGCCTAGTGGTGCCAACAACGATGGTTCAGGAGATCCTACAGAACTGTCATGACTCGTTGGAGGGCGGTCACCAAGGTATCGTCCGAACCTACCACCGAGTCAAGGCTGGCTACTATTGGATTAGCTTGTTCGCCGATGTGGAGAAACACGTACGCTCGTGTCCTGACTGTAGCTCAACCAAGAGTCGCCCGCAGCTACGTGGGTACTCCCCAGGCAACATTCTGGCCGAGCGTCCGCTACAAAATGTCTCGATGGATTTTGTGATACCCCTACCGAAGACTCGGCGGGGCAATACCGCACTGCTACTGTTTCAGTGTGCGTTCACTGGATTCGTCATGGGCAAGGCGATGGCGGACACATCTGCACTCTGTGTAGCACAAGCATTCGAAGAGTGCGTGTACCGAAGGTTCGGAGCGCCGTCTCTGATCAGGCATGACCGAGACCCGCGCTTCATGAGCGAGGTCTTCCAAACCTTCGCCGAGATGATGCAGTCGAGATCTAGGGCTACGTTGAGCGTTCCTGCTGGCCGCAGGCTAACGGTCAGCAGGAACGCTCGGTCAAGACCGTAATGGAATCGGTGCGAGTGTACGCGGAGGACCCGCTGCAACAAGACTGGGATGAGATTGTGGAGAAGTTGATCTTTGCGATTAACAATTCGCAGGACGCCACGAGGAAGGACACGCCCTTTTACTTGGTGCACGGATGGGACGCAAGGTCCACCCTCCAGAGCAATGTCCTCCTCAATGAAGCGAGGTGTCGGGCGACAGTCCGATGCGTTGGCATGGCGCCGAGAAGTCAACAGGCAGCAGGAAGTTGCGTTGGAAAAGGCTAAAGAGTACCAAGCAGGCGAGAAAGCTCGGCGTGCTCAAAAGCATAACGAGGCTTTGAGCCGAGCAGAACGTGCTGCGCTTCCACCTTCCGCGACTGGCGAAACCTCGGAAGATGAGCCGACAGGTGCAGAGGGTGAGGGTGACAAACCAGACCCGCACCGAAGTCTCTCTTCCAGCCTGGTGATCGTGCGTGGTTTTACATGGAACGCGTCAAGCCAGGATTGACCAAGAAGTTGGCTCATCGATGGCATGGTCCCTTCCGCATCAAGCAGATGGTTGACGAGTATGCGTACGAGTTGGATTCGCCTGACAAGAGTGGTTACCGGTTCTACGCGGTAGTGCATGTGTCCCGGTTGAAGGCGGTGAACGAGTTTGGCGATCGGCCGAAGGCTCGACTTGCTGCTGAAGTAACCGAGGAGACGCGACTGGATTTCGACGAGGAGTTACTCCCGGAGGATAGTTGGGAACCCAACCACCTGGCAGGCGAGTATGAGGTTGAAGCCATCTTGGACGACAGAATTCCCCTCTCGACAAGCACTGAGCGAGCCGTCCGAGAGTTCAAGGTGAAGTGGGTCGGCTATGACGAACCCTCGTGGGAGCCCGCGTCGAATCTGTCTTGTGGCGGACTGCTGTGTGACTATCTACGCGAGAAACGACGTGACCAAAGGTTGCAAATGGTCCAAGTCGCTGACGAGGACTAGTTGCATCCCTCTCACCATGATGAACTGCCGGCAGGGCTACGCAGCCTGCCCCAGCAGACCAAACATGTTACTGCGGAAAGAAGATTGTATATTTGTATGTTGAAGTGGACAAGACTTTACCAAGTGGAGATCACGACTGGAGAAACTGTGGAGAACAGCTGAAGAAGGACAAACGACTACTGAATTGCATGGGCGAGCTAGTTATACTACGAACGGACTGTCTGAATACCGTGATCTAGCTCGATCTAAACATGAAAGAACGATGGAGAACTGGAACGAAGCTTAGGCGTCCGAGGACGACGCAACCTTGGTCAAAACGCGGAGACGCGCAGCCGGTGAAGCTTCGCCCCGCGTGGTAGCTCGATCAGCAGCACTTGGAGACGAACTTGGCGTGTCAGCAGGAGTCTCGCTGGCTGAGGCCTCCTCAACAGGGGCCTCCAAAGCCGCGACGCGATCTTGAACCGAGTCCTTCGTTGCCGTTGCTGCATCTTGAGCTCCTAGCGCTTGTGTAGTTTCTCTTGAGCATCCAAGGCGCGGCGAGACTCGTCCTGAGCCTTTTCCGAAGACTCTTCAGCAACCGGAGACTCGATCTCTTCGATCAGCTCCTCGACCTCCTCCTCTTCCGAGACTTCGTCTTCACCTGGCTGCCCGTCCTCCTGCAGACCGAAAGGAGGCCCGTGAAGTTCGTGAACTCACGCACCCACGGGGCCGTAACACGGCGAGGGTCCAGCACCGGGTTGATCGTAACAGCTGTCGCGACTTCACGAACAGTCATGCCACGCGGAACGAAGAGTGGAACCATGGGGTTGCACGGAGCGAAGGTTGTGTTGTACGGGTGCTCGGACGGCACATCCACCCAACAGTTGCGCCAAGGCTGGTGTCCATCCAGCTCTAGACACTCTGAAACCCAATCATCCGACCGAGGCGCCCACGTCAAGTTCTCGAACGAATACTGGAGCACCGAAGGCTCGAGCATGGTTTCGGTCTCGCACGAGATGTGGCCAGCAAAGGATGGGAAGCACCACTGCCACCAGCGCTTCGGGATCTGCAGACGCAGGCGGTCTGCACAGTTGTTGCGCTCGTGGTTGTACTTGACCCACGCCGCCAGGATCGCGCAGTACTCAGGCGATTCCTCACCGAAGGTCTCTGCCATAACCTGGAGGAAACGCTCCACGGCAGTCGTCGAAATCCAATGCCCTCGTTCGAACAGTGAGAAGCCTAGGTCGTTCTTCTCAGTACGGCCGACAGATCGACTCGTGAACTGCCGCCAGAGCTTTACCAACAGCGCTCGAACCTCGGCGCGAATCGAAATTGGAACGTCCGGCATGAACGCCGCAACCTCGAACAGGCAAGGCTCGTCCGGCATGCTGGCGAGAACCCTGTGGAATGGGCGATTCGGATTTGTCCACCCCGACCACTCCTCTGTGCCTTTGACCGAGCACTCCACCATCACGTCACCAGCAATAGGCCGAGGCATTCGAACGTTCTGGATGATGCACCAGCACGGCATGGCCCCATACGCTTGGAACGGAGGGTCGATGAACGGAGTCGCAGTATCCGGCAGCTTGCGGGACACCCGAACGAGGGGTTGCTCCCCGTGGACTGGGGCTGGCGGTGTAGACGCCCGAGCGAAGCTTGACATCTCGGCTGTGCTAGCCGCAGAGAGAGTTGCCACAACTTGGATACGAGGATTGCGCTGCCGGCATCGGCCTGCCGAACCTTGAGAGCGTGAATGTGGAGGTGAAGCCGGTGCCGAAGGCTCGCTAGCGCTAGGTGCAGTAGCGTCGCCGATAACCTCGTCGCCTGGCGCATTCTCGCGCTCAACATCTGACATGGAGCGGAGAGAAGACGTAGTCGAAGCCGGACGAACTGGACGCCCGTCACGACGCGGCGGGATTATACAGAAGCCTCGAACGGCGAACTCTCAGCAGAACGCTTGCCCTCAACTTCGTCATTCCGGTCCGAAGTCTCGAACTCGACCTCAGCCTCTGACGAGTCGGAAAAGAGGGCAGTAGAAGCCTCGGAAGGGTGAGGAGAAGCCGGAGGAATTGTGCTGGGAGCAGCCGATCCAGCCGCCGAAGATTGTGACGCCACAGGGCGAGCCTTTGGAGCCGCAGACTCGACTGGGGCCCTGAGTGACGAAGGGCGACAAGCCGACCTGGCACGAGCTCTCTGCTGAAGGTTGACAGAAGAACGACCGAGTCTTGTAGCTCGGTTGGATCCAGCCTGTTGTGTCTCCCGAGACTTGCGATGAGCATGCTTACGACGCTTGGCTGGGGGAGGACTGGTCGACTCGTCATCCGAGTCGTTGCCTGACTCAGCAGGCTCCATCGAGACATCGACTTGGACATCAGCCGGAGCAGCAGCTCGATGGCGAGTAGTGCCAGCTCGAGACGAAGATTCACGAGAACTTGGAGTGGCAGGAGCCGCGCCTGGAGCGGAATATGCAGAGTCGAACACCTCCAGGAAAGCATCGAATGCTCTGGGCAGGACGTTGTCATCCATCCGCCGAACGAGTTCTCGAGCCTCCGGTTGACCACGCGCTTGGTTGATGAGCAGGCTTCGGAGCTGCCTCATGTTGCGGTTGTACTCTTGGAGACCCGACTTGAAGAGCTCACGATCCTTTGCCAGAAGCGAGTCCGAAGCCTTGAGCGAAGCCTCGTAGCGCTCACACTGTGACCTCAGCAGAGCGATCGTTTCGTCGTTCGTAGCCATGGCAGTGTTGTGCTTCCTCAGCTGACGCGAAACTTCGTCGCGCTCGTGGCGAAGCGACTTGACCACCTCGAAGAGCTCGTTGCGCTCGAACGAGGCTCGGGTACACAGGACCTGAGCCTGGTTCTTGAGGTCCGTCTCCTAATTGAGCAGCGACTCGAAGTGTTGAGCGCGCCTTTCGAAGTATTGAACCTCGAACCGAAGCCTGCGCATCTCTTCGTCCCAGCCCATAGGCAGCCCGCAAGGGTCCGGATTGAGTGCCTCGACTACCTCGCCGAGGGATTGAGCGCACTCGGGCCTCTGGTCCAGCTCGTAGTCGACACGAAGCGGAGGGTGACGCACCAAGCCGACCATCAGCTGAGCGAAGTTTGCGAAACGTCGTTCCGAGTGCTCGCGGAGCTCCTCGACCGCAGCCTGCACCTCGTGGTGAACGATGTCTTCGACAGCATACCATTGCGCGGAGGAGCGCGGAGGAAGTCCCGAAGCCTCGCACGCAGTTGCAGGCAGCGGGCCACCCGTGCGGCAGAAGTGCGTAGCATTTGACGAAGGCTCGTGCAGAGGACTGGAGTCGGGCGAGGACCTGGGGACCAGCTGAGTACACGCAGGGTCCGACGAAGCCCCGCTAGCGGACGGCAAAGCGGGAGTTGGCAACGTTGGAGCCACTGCACTCGAAGCCGAGGTCTCTCCGGTGCTTGCAGCCGAAGCATGGTGCGCGACGACCGAAGGTGCGGCCTGGAGACTGCCCGCCACCCCGCGTTCTCCTGCAGAGGCGGGAGTTGGTGACGGAGCAGCTCCGGCGCTGCCACCAGCACCAGACGACACCGAGGCCTCCGAGGCCAGCGCCGACGAGTCGATGACCTGCCCCGTGGGGCCACGCAATTGAGTGTCCTGCAGCAAGATGCAGCAAGTTGAAGACGGTTAGATGCTCTGAAGAGATCAAGCACAGCACTCAAGCACCTCGCACGAAGACTCACCTGGACGACTGGACCGAGGTCCGGGAAGGTGAAGGGCGGCGCGCTGCCAGGACCGCCGGAGGACTGCATGGCGTCGGAGCGCAGAGAGGCACGAAGGCAACACGGCACTCACCACTTGGGACGGCTCGGGCCGAGTTTGGGGCCGCTGTGAGATCGGGAAATGACGACGGCCGGGCGAGTTCCGGCCGAGGTCTAACTGCCTTGAGCTTGCGAGAGATGGCTGACCGAGGGCTCTGATTGGTCGGTCACATTCCCCGCGCTTTAGTGCCCAGATGAATGATAAAGACTACGGAGTGACAGGAGGGTCTCGGCGGGTCAAAATAAACTGCCTGCCAAGGCCTCCGAAGTTTCATAGTGGGTACACTTTATGCCCAGTAGCAGTTCGGATTTAGGACGAAGCTTCGTCCGATTGTAGGATCAGCTCGAAAGCTCGGTCCACACTTGATATTTGTATAGACCTTAGTGATTAGCTATAGGAGAGGCCTGACAGTCTCTAATCATTAAAGAGAGCAGAATTCTCCACCCAAGCCACACAAGGGTCACGTCCGTCTACGGTAAGTCGCTAAGCTTAGCGTAGGGTCTGGATACACTCGGCTGCACGGGGTATGTCTGCCGGTGAACATAAGGTGCATTGACCGAGTGTTCATCCTGGTAAGGCCAAGAGTGAGTAGGTGGCCGAGTGTTGGGAGGTATTAGAGACCTCTGTGTACAGTTGTACGTTTGACTGGGTGTGAGGCAAGGACCCTCCAGTGTATTTGACTTCTAGCCGAGGCTTCGCCCCGGCGCCCCTGTAAGAGGCTTCGATTGGCCTGGTACCCTTCCTTTCTGAGGGACCACAGTGGGTTAAGCGTGAAAGCGCGTGTGTACATTGCATCCTAGCCGTAGCTCGTGGCTAAGGGTGCTCTTATATTTTAACAAAGGGTAAACCTACCTGACCCGCAACACACAGGGAGGCACATTCCAGCCCGTATAAGAGATCGGACCTGGTCTTCAGGTTTATTATCCCGACAATGTATCGCCGACCCTTCGGAGACGGCGTGTGTTTATGGTAGGGCTCGTCCTAGAGACTTCGGTTGGTAGGGCGAGGACTCGTAAACTCGTGTTTTCCAACACGACAATCTGAACAAGAGAGCAAGAACAACAACAGGAGAGAAGTTAGTTCAGGTCCCTAAATTTGTTTGGTTTGATTTTCCTCATTAGAGCATCTCCACCGGTGTTGGCTTTTTTTGGGCAAAGCAAACGGCAAAGCCTATGGGTTTGCTGAGATTTTCTGTACCGTTCCTACACATTTCGACGACAGCCACACCAGTCACCTACGAGGAAATATGAAAAATCCATAGCTTTTTGAGGGATAATCCACAGCTTTGCGTCTCCAGTCCACAGCGATTGACGACGGAGCTGGCCAATGGGTACAATAACAGGCTGCCAAGGACAAAGTCGCGTCAGTACCATCAATCTGCGGCGACGGCTGTACCATTCTTGAGGTACATGTATAGCGAGCTAGTGTACCATTCTTCATGTACCCAGTTCGGAAGCACATGCAGCAGGTGCTGAGTGGGCGTCTAGCGCGGGGAGCAGGTGGGTACAGGCAACGTCTATGAGTACGATACTTAGCTGGCTGTTAGGGCAACAAAATGCAGTGTCGGCGTCGAGCTAACTCGCAATACTGACGTTACTGTGGATGAAAATGCAGACTCCAAAATCCTGCTTGCCGGGCAAGGGTGGCTCTGGGGCCGTAGAGGATGGCGCGTGGCCATTTTCCGCAGGTGCGCGGGCAGTGGCATACTTGTGTGGTTATAATGATGCTATGCTGGTAGGCTAACGTGCTATATTGGTGGTGCTGTGAACGAATAGGAGGTGAAGTGTGGATTGGCGCTCGAGGGGCCAATACGCCCATGCCATTCATGGCGCTTTGCCACCAACAGAAACCCCAGCAATTATGTCATTGTTTTTGTCCAAATCCGGACTCCAACAAGAATTGCCAACGAATTGCCAAGATTTTGTTGACCCGGTGTGAAGCCTATTGAACCTATTTTCGCAAAAGTTTTGACAAAATCGTTATTGCCAAAAAAATTGTTGACCGGTGGAGATGCTCTTAATAAACTTTCCTCTTTAGAAACACCCCGGGTTTCGCGACAAAGCTAGCTTTCCGCTCTTCGAAGCGTTTAGTTTGTTGATCCTGGAAGTCGTCGACTGTCCGGAACTTCGTCTCTTCGGTGCGCGTGGCGACCAAGATCTTCCTGTCGTCGTTGGCCAAGGACTACCGAGCAACGTCGACTAAGTACGCGTTTGAGGACCTTCATCACTCGGCTAAGTGCGATCCCACTAAGTTCGCCTTAGGTTCTGTTGGAGCGGACTTCAACCATGCCGGGCTACGCAGTGGACTCCGACGGTGATGTGAAGATGTCGCTACTGCACCCCATCTTCGAGGTCATCAGGGCTCCTGAGCTGTCCAGTTGGGACCATGCTGCGATGATTGATTGGCATCGCGAGTGGGAGCGCTACGTGGAGAAGATGCGCCACCGCTGCACCACCACTGGCGAGACGTTCGAGAACGTTGTTGCCACTGTCAAGGGCTCAGTGAGGCCTAAGACGCTGAAGAACATGGCTACCTATGTGTTGAAGAAGCCAGTGGCCTCGGTGACGGATGCTGACATCATGGCGGCCGTCGAGCGTCGAGAGCCGCGTGTACACATGTATGGTCCGACCGGCCAGCTGGGTGTAACACACTCAACAGCTGCAGCAAAGCCAGTACCTCCTTTTCTGCCGGGTGGTAGTTCATCTCGGCGTTCTTGAGCACTCGGCCGCAGAAACGCACCGGGTGCATCGGGCCATCGTGCTCCTGCATGAGCGTGGTGCTCACTGCCCATTCATTTGCAAACAGCGTCACATGGACCTCTCGGTCACGGTCGAAGTGTCGGAGGACAGGTGCCTCACCGACCTTTCGTTGCAATGCCGCGAAACTTCGCTTGGCCGCAGAGAGGTCACCCCCTCGTGCGAAGTCTTCGTCTCGCAGCTGGTATAGCGCGGCACCGTAGACAGCAAAGTCCTGTATGAAGCAGCTGTAGTAGTTCAGAGCGCCAAGGAAAGCTTGCACTCCCTTCTTGGACCTTGGGAAGGACAGCTCGGTGATAGCCTTCAACTTCTTTGGGTCCGCTCTAATACCACTCCGGGACACTTCGTGAGATAGAAAGTCCACCTTGGGCTGCACGAAAATGCTCTTGGTAAAACTCACGCTGATCCGGCATTCCTCGAACCGGGCGAAGAGTCGATCGAGCGTCGCTAGACATGCATCGAAAGACTCGCCGTCAAAGCAAATATCGTCAACGAACGAACGCCGTTCGAAAACCGGCACCAACAAAGACTCGTCGGGCTCTCCATTCGCAAACATGTCTGCAATAGGACTGTTGATTAATTCCGAGACCGAGCTTTCGCTCGATCCGAGTCCAAGTCCCGCTTCAAACTTCGTAGGCGACTGGTCCGGGTCGGACGACTCTTCATGTGACTGTTCGGTCGAGGCGTTGGCGAGTTCACGGTCGCGTGCTTCAGCTTCGGCCATCAGACGCGCGTAATGCTTCCAGCCACCCTTCGGTTGAACAAAACCCCACAGAGCGTTGTCGAGCATTCGTTGGTAGATCATAGGTGCATTTTTAAGCCCATAGGGCATTCTCAGCCACTCGAAATGACCAAGTGCACACACACAAACGCGGAGATCTGACGAGCCCTCTGTGTCATCATGATCGCCCAGAACCCACTCGCTGCATCAAGCGAGCAGTACCACAGATACTTCTCCAGGTCTGTGAGCAGATCATCCACAAGGGGCATTGCATACTCCATGATAGCGGTGACTGCGTTTGCCATCTTGTAATCAATGCATAGTCTGATATCTACGCCATTCTTCTTCAGCACAATCACGATCGGTGCCGACCATGGGCTGTTGGAGAACGCGATCAGACCGGCCTTGAGCAAACCTCGCAAAAGCTCGTAAAGCTTCTTGAGGTGTCGGAGGGGAATCCTCCGTGCTCGTTGCTTGATAGGCGCATGGCCCTGTACATCGATGTCGCACACTACATCGTACGCAGGCGGTGGTAGAGCATTGCCACTAGAGATCATGATCTTCTCATGTTTCTTCAGAACCTTCACTAAGCGATCCTGCCGTCTTCTACTCAGTTCCGGGTGCCGGACATTCTCAGCCGAGTAGTCCAGTTCCGTGACCGAGGCTTCTGTAAGGTCGGGCAGGAAAGCTAGTTCATGAGCGTAATCTTCCAAGTTGATCTTATTGGGCAAGTGTTCGGCTCGGGCATTGCCAGCTTCGACGTCAGCTTCTCCATCCTCAACGTCGACAGCGGCGGCCGACAGATAATTGCGTGTCAGCACTGCTACCGACTCTTCATCTTGGACTGAGTCTTCGGACCCCGGGGACTGTTCACTGTCACCCCAGTCTGAACGGTCTTCCGTTACGTCAGAGGATTCGGCTGGCACTTGGCTCGCTATCACCCCTAGGTCCGAGGCGTCGTCATCGGTGCTGGCATCCGAAGCTCCTTCACTCTCAGACTCGATTGAACCTTCGGTACTAGTGTCATCGGCTTCCACGTGCACAGGAGGGAGCTCCACCGGATCATCACCCATTGGTGAGCCGTCGGTGGCGAGTTGATCCTGCTCCTCACGCTTAGCGATTTCACGTTCCCACTGCTCGGCACAACTCAGCTGGCGGCCGTGCGTCTGGGAGGCTTCGGGTGGCCGGGGTAACACTCCGGCTGGCACTGCATACTCCGGTCGCTCCACAGCCGAAGGCTGAGAGGCCAGCCAATCCGCATATGCATCACACTCGCGCTTGAACACCGTTTCATCCCGACTTCCGTCATACGCCAACTTCTGCCAGTCCTCGTATCGTTCCGAACTGAGTCGAACATAACCTTCAGACTTCGGGAGATCTCCGATCGGTACCCACATTAGCATAGGTGAGTGTACACGGCAAACCGTAAAACGTTTCGACACGTTCGTCAACCGCACGCTCTCGACCTTGCCTCGCCGAAACTTCGTTACCGTAGACAACAGAGCCTTCGTGCGATGTACCCACACCTCGTGTGTATCCAGAGGTGGTTGACGCCTCGGTACTCTGTACTCGGCGAACTCTCGGCTCTCAATGGTTAGGTCCTCGGACGGACCACCGTTGACGTGCGGGCCTTCACTTTGGTCATTCAGCATGTTCAGCGTCTTAATGAATGGAATACTCACCTCGTCCGGCAACCTCGCGGTCGCGTGGAACAAGTCCAAGCGCACTCCTGCAGGAATCATGAAGTCGGTGCCGAGGACTACATCCACGCCAGCACCATGATCCATAATCCACAAATCGGATTCGTACAGCCTGCTCCAGCCGAGGGTTACTTTCACGAGAGTTCGTCTCTCGGTTGTCATGGTTCCTTTCGTAAAACCCTTAACCTCCATACAGCGGCCGTGACCTTGGATATCACGCAACCGCAACTGCTTCGCGAACCGTTCGGAGACCACACTAACACTCGCGCCAGTGTCCAATAGAATCCTCGTTCGCGTGTCATTCACCGCGCCCTTGACCAGAGCTCTCATCCGAGCTCTCTTGTCGAACTTCTGCGCTGACCACCACCCCAGCCTCTCGCCTGGGAGTAACTTTGTCACCCCACTGGGCGTTCGGCCAGGGTGTCCTTCTTGCACCGCACTTGAGACACAAGCCTCGGTGCCATCTTCATCATCTTCATCATCATTCATTTCACTTGTTACACCTCCACCGAGGGTTGCCCCTCTCTCCTTTTCATTTTCCGTCGTTTTCACACATTCCTTGTCCTTGTCGTTCGGCCGTTTGCTTTCGCCCACGAATGCGTTGACACAGTCTGCATCAATCGCGGGCTCAGCTAACTGTGGCAGCCCGATTGGGACCAACCCAGTTTCAGTTGGCGGGCTGCCTAGTTTAAATTGCCACCGAAGACTAGGCTTTGGAGCTCTGGCGAGAGGTCCTTCTTCTCGGCCTTCGTTTTGATGAACGAAGTGAGGGCTTGAAGTTCTTCGCACTTGCCGATGTCATGCACCTGCTGGCACAGTCGGCAGCGGCGGTAGCAGTAGTGAGCCGAATGCCCAGCTCCACCACAAGCTGCGCACGGTCCGTACTACCGTGGACGACCATCACGGTTGTCTCGGCCGGTGTGGCGGTTACTCCGGTCTAATCATCGGCCGGGTTCACCACCCTTGCGTTGACGTTGGTCAGGGCGCGCGTACGTTCCTTCAGCTGCTTGGCGTCGCTCGCGCTCATTGGCAGCGGCGACGTGAGCTCCTTCCTCACCAGAGCTGCTAACGTCACTGTAGCCACCATCACTCGGATCGCTCTCGGAGTAATGATAATCACTGGCGTCACTCTCGCTGTCGCTGTACGGGGTACGACGTGGCGACGAGCGCTCGGCTCTACTACCCTTGGTACCGCGGACTTGCAGTTCAGCTACCAAGTCTGACAGCGAAACTTCAGCTAGCGAAATGCGCGGAACATGGCGCGAGTCATCGCGGCGGCGGGAGTCTTCGCGCGGTCGCGACGGTAACTGTCACGCGAAGCTTCGTGGCGACGGTCATCACGACGACGCGGTTGGTCTCGACTGCGCGAGGTCTCGCGCGACTGCCCACGCTCTTCAGACTTCAAAATGTCGTTGATCATGTCCTCGAGTTCGTGAATGCCCTTCACCCGGACGTGGCAAAGCCGGCGTTCGAGGCTTCGGTCACCGCACGTCTCGAGGAACCTCTGCACATGGTCCTTCGCGTCGCGACCACTACTCTCGAACTGAAGGCCAGCATTACGAGCGTAACCATTCAGTCGGTTGAGGTAGTCACAAAGGTGTTCCGAGGACTCGCGCTTCGCAGAGTAGTAGCGAGCCTTCGCAGACTGGCTAAACTGCGAGCAGTAATACTTGATAAACGCATCGCTCAGTCGCTTCCACTGACGCTTAGTCCTCTTCGGGAGTTGACGGTACCAGTGAAGGGCACCGTCCCGAAGGCTCAGCTCGAAAGCCATGCACCACTCGTTTGGCGGAGTGTGCGTTCCCTTCTTCTCATAGACGAACGCTCGGAGCCACTGCATAGAGTTTTCACTCCGATTGCGGGCTCCTGAGAAATTTTTGATCTGCGCAAGCGGCTGGTGTGTGGCGATCTTGAGCCGAGGAGTCGAACTCAGTCGCTCCATCTCACTCACTTCGCGCACTTGACGGGCCAACTCATCGCTCGGGCTGTCAAACCCATCTTCATAGTCGATGTTATCATTGTCGTCCTCGTCGGACGACGAGTCATCGCGCGGTGTAAACCGGCGACTTGAGCGTCGCGTGGAGCTTCGTTGCCTGCTCCGCTCGCGTGGCGAACCTTCGGACTCACGCGCAATACGGTCGGCTCGACTCGCCGACCTAGGAGTCACCATGTGCGAGTCTTGGAAGTACGGCGAACCTTCGGTCTTGGCGGAGAGCACTCCGTCCGTCGCTTGGCTTTGGTTTGACCGCTCGGCGGACTTCTTGGGTGTCTGTGGCAGTGGGATCCTTGAAGGATCAGCTTGCTCCCTCGCGGGGCGAGCACTCGGGGGCGTCCCAGAGTCAGGTCCGACTCCCCGAAGCTCAGGTGAAGCTTCCTCTTCCACTTATGCAGCACCTTGCCGGCGAGACCCGGCGTCCAACTCTTGATCGAGACTTCGGACGGACGAGTCCTTGGCTCGCAGCTCATCGTTTGTAGGAGAGACACCGTGTCCTCGGAACCGAGGTCGACTCAACGGGGTGTTGCAACTCCTCCTTCAGCTCAGCCCAAGTCGCTTGACGCGTCATCTCGGGATTGAACTGCCATATCCACTGGCTCGACTCCACCATCTGCTCGAGCATTCTGCCGAGCACCTTGTTCGCAGCTGGAGTGCTGCTGTTCTAGCGGGCCGACTTCCGCGGGATTCTTGAGGACCCTTAGTAACCTGCGCCAGAGCCCTCGAAGCCGAGGTCTCCGTGCCATCCTCAAAGTCGTCATCCGCTTGGTCGGGTTTCGCCACTTCATCAAATTCCGCGACGAGGTTCCGGGACAAGGTGCGCGAGCCTCCGCTACGTCCCGCGGACAGCATCGCATCTTCTTCATCTCCGAACTCCTGCGTCGTCGCTGGAGTTTCTCCTCCAGGTCATCATAGTCCATCATCATGTCATCCTTGGCGTCCGACTCTTCGTCGACCGACTCTTCGAAACTGACCGACCTTTCGGAGATCGTCGACAACCGAGACGTTAAGTCACTCGCGATCGTTGACGAACCTTCGGCCGATCCTCGTCCTGACTTCACCGGCGTAGCTGAGTATATAGCCGCAACGGGTCATTGTGTCCACTCTCATTTTCTCCCGATATAAGAACACTCAGAGACCCATTCGTATAACCACAACCACAGCTTACCCATTTTCTCTTCAACGCTTTAAAACTCTCCAGAACACTCCTTATCTCCCTAGATTAAAAGAACCATCCTTCTTCTCCCACGATGTCCAAACATCTTCTCGTTAAATAAAAGCTTAGAGCAAAAAAAGAAGTCCTCATGGATTTTCTACATTTCAGAATAATCTCTGAAATTCAGAATAATCTGGGAAATTCAGAATTTATTGGAAAATTCAGATTTCAATAACTCATCAACTTCTGCCTTCAGCTTAGGCATCTTGGTCTGAACAAATTCATTCTTGCTCAACCATTCCAGGTATTTAGCATCGATGGCTTGGATCTGTTTAATAGTCTTGTGTCTGTATTTACCCCACGTCATAAGGAACGATCCATCGTCATTGCCGAACTTTTGAGCTAGGAAATTAGCGATATCACTACCATGTGCAACGAGACCCTTTTGATTCGATAGCCAACGGCAGTATCCAGGGTCAGAAGCATATACCTCCTCAAGTCTTGGATTTATGCTTGCCAAACGTTAACGTAGTCATTGGTATCGATATAGATACCCAACATCTTTTTTGAAAAAATATTAATTATTTAATAGTGGACTTACAAGAACACACTTGCCGTGATAATCAGTTTCAGGTGTCAATCGACTTGTGCAGTGAGATTCTAAGCCACATCATACTTAAATAAACTCAATTCAACGAGAGATGCTTAATCGGTTCTCGCTACTTCTCCGGTGAGACGGTCGATCTCAAGCTCGCGCTCGTATACGACCAGTACGAGGAGATCCATGCCGGCAGCCGAACCGTTGATGCCGCTCACTTGGATCGCCTGAGGGACATCCTTCTGAGTCAGGCGCGAACAGTCCGCTACGAGGATACGCTGGGCCATCGACCACTGGACCGATTCAATCAAACTATTGCTGACCTCCTGAGACAGATCTCCGTTGATAGCGCCGAGCTTCGAGAACTCACGCTTGAACGACTCGAAATCGTACTCCTGACTCGTGTCGAAGACATTGCTGTTACCAATGGTTACCTGGAAATTGCGGATGGAAGCACCAGGCATGCATGTCCAAGGCGCGCTATCGAAGGGAGATTGGTACTGAGGCGTACCAGCAGACGATACAAAGTGGTATGCCGTCGTATCAGCGAACGAAATCAGAGCTACGTATTTAACGTTTTTCTCGTAACCGCTGATGTTGAGATCAAACGGAGCATTCAACTGACCAGCGGGAACACCGCTTGAATTGGTAGTACCGCCTCCCCTCCGGAACATTTGGGCGAAGCAGTCGAGGTAGCGAACAGTCTTGATCGGCTTCTGAATGATTGCCGAGGGGTTTTTAAATGTGTAGAACGGAATATGGAGACGCGAGTTCGAGTAGGGGAAATATTCGCCTACAGAATTAGTAGATGTGAATGCATTGCCAAGCGGACCAAATGAGAACGACAGTTGTGATCCAGTAGGCGTTAGAACATCATTCATTGGCGCTGCTTTAGTGATAATATCACCCGCGGCGGTCTTGAGCGCTGCGCCAGCCGATGAAATCATAATCGGAACAGTCTATCCAGAAGTCATTGTAACAGAATCAAGCTTCATGCTTGCGACGCCACTGGATACTGCTACCGTACCTGCATTGATACGAAGACGGATCTTGATTTAAGGATTGGCGAATAGATTCAGCTCCTTAAAAATCGGATGAAGGTCAACGAGGCGGATTTTCAACATGTAAAACCATTTGCCGGCAACCTTGTCGTTTCCAAACGACGTCGCATCAGATTCCTTAAAGCAACCGCGAGCGTTCTGCTGGATAATTTGCTTGGTAGCTGTATTTCCCATCGAGGCCCACGAGAATGCTCCAGTAGCCTCTGTAGAATCTACAACCGGCGGTGTGTTTACAAGTCGCTTGAAGAGTCCAGAATTAAACGCCCAAGGCTCTTGAGTTTGAGACAGAGTTTCGTCGAGGGGACCGTGCCAGTAATTTGATTATTACTGAATCCATCTCCTGCAGAGCTCGCTGCACCCGTAAAGTTGATGCTCGACCAAGTGTCCGGGAATAGATGCATGTCGGAGCCATGCTTGGCTACCTCGTCCTGCGAAAGTTCAGTCATGGCTCGTAGGTTGTTCCAGAAGCCTTTATACTCCGTTTCGGTGATTACTTTCTTACCGTTCAGCTCCACGCTCAGAGAGTCGATGACATTGGTAACGTTGCATTTGAGAGCGCACGCGAATCGACTAATTGTCGAAGAGTTGATAGAAGCCGCACCGGTCGACTTGGCCGTAATTACGTAAGGCAAGGTGAGATACGCTTCCTTGAGAGAAGCCAATCCGCGTGAACCAGTGAGCTGAGAGGTAGCGTCGATCTGAATCAGTCCAGAATTGTAACTGCCTTGGTTACCGTCATATATACCCGATACGGTTTTGCCCTTCGAAATATCGATAGGAGATTCGGTCTTGAGAGCCGACTGGAGTAGATAAGCGTCCGTTAATTGAGTTACGTCAGACATGATGATAAGTATATGACATCTGATATAGTTCCAATCGAAAAATAATTAATGGATCTTGTTAAAGGAATTACATCTGACCATGACTTGCTCGCGCTCGCTAAGCAAATTGGAGTCCGGATCGATGGCATATACGAGCTTTCCGAGATCCGGAAGCCACTCCCCTCGAAGGGGTCATATCTTATCCTACTGCGTACGAGCCCTGGAATCGGCCATTGGACTGCTGTGTGTGATGGTGGTTATTTTGATAGCATGTCTATCGGAACGCCGAAGGTATTAGGCGATCTGCTATATTTCAACAAGCAAATCCAAGGCTCATCGGACGAATATTGCGGAATCTTCTGCCTGTTATGGTTATACGCCAAGCAGCATGGGAAAATGCATATAATGGATAGATTCACTGAACTTGATATCGACGTGCTTCCAACCAAAAAAAAGATAGTTATTGAGCATTCAACCAGCGTTGATGCTTCTTCGTATTAAGGTGAGTTGTCTTACAACCGTAGCTATAGCGACAGCTGCATTCACACTGATATTTTTGTCTTCTACGAGCTTTGATACTGTCTTCGTTAGCCTTGTTATAAATCTTCTGTTTGGCATTCAGTGCCGCTTTGTTTGTCTGATAATATTGTTTTTTTATATTCAGTGATCGTTTGTTTGTTGGATTCATAATATTGCTTACTACGAGCTTTGTCAGATTCTTTATTGGCTGCATATAAATGTTTTTTATAAAGCTTTTTAATACAAAATGGGTTATTTTTGTTAATACAGCGAAGTTTGCTGACCCAAAGTTGTTCCATAGCCAGAAGACATTTGCGATCAGCTACATCATAGCTTTTGATTGGAATCAGCTTGGACTGATCGATGCCATACTCTTGAAAGTAAGGAAAGATGGAAACAGTGCCTTGATTGTCTTTGGTCCATCGTACAAGTGCAGACTTGTGTGCTTGCCAACGCTTGCGTGGCTCATTGAACGTACTCCCGACGTATTGGATGTCGCTCTCAAGGTGGATAATGCGGTAGATGTGTCCGATCATAATGGTACAATTGTACTTTTATATATTTGGGATGCCTTACCTCAATATTGAATTATTTTCTGAAATTTTAAATCCCTGCCTAACTATACTATTAACGACGATGTACAAGGAACTGTCCATTTCGAACTCTATCCCCGAAAAGCGTCTTCGCAGTGCAATCAAGACTGGCAACCTATCGCTGACTAAGGCTGATCTCGCCGGCTCTGGTGCAACGCTACATCTGCACCCCGAATCATATGATAAGGTCATGCGAGCTAAGTAGGCCGGCAAGGGCTCTCGAGTCAAGATCACCAAACACGAGATCCAGTACCCCATGGAGGCAAATGGAGGCATTATGCAAGCTGGAAGTATCTGGAGTAAGGTGTGGAACGGCATCAAGAGTGCCTGGAAGCCTGTAATCAATCCTGCTCTATCGGCTACCGCGAATGGTCTCGCCAGCATGGGATCGGCGTATGTAGCGAGCCAAGGCAAAGACCCTGCTCTCGTAGGTGTTGCCCGAGGCGCTCTGAAGCGATTTACGGGTATCGGCGTTGCTGAGGCTAAGCCCTCTCGCCGTAGCCATCCAGCGAGGGATCCCCCGAGATGAAGGCGAAGATGGCTCGCCTTCGCGCTATGCGCAAGGGTGCTAGCTCTAAGCGAGCTGGAAACTTCCGTTTGTCATATTTAAAAAAACTCACTGTTTTTTAACCCTCTACGAGCGTTTCTGCCGGACGATCAGACTGATCAGCATGTTTGTATTGTTCAATTTAGCGAACCTGCCCTCTTGATCAACGATCGTTAGAGTGATGCTAGCATATGATCCGTTGGGAACATCGACCCAACAGAACTCATTTGGCTGGTAGCTTACTAGCTGACCGATAGTCGTTCCTGCTGTGTTGAAAGTAGTGAGAATATCGTATGGAATGCAAAATGGATTTGATACTAGGGAACATCGCATCTGATATGAGCTGACAGGATTGATCTGAGGCGGAATCGGAGAGAGTACAGACTGAAGCGTGTATAGACTCTGACTGACGTTCCCCGTGGGAAACCGATGATTTGCCAAACTCCTCGTTATCGATAACGAGCTTGGGGACATACGAGAATCCAAGCGGCAGACCGTTTCCACCGCTCGAGTAGAGACCAAAAGGCGGGCGAGACCATCCAGCGGGAAGGCTCGTCGGAACCGGCGATAGATCGACTTGGCACGAGTAATAGGTTGGGTTTTCGCTGATATTGGCGTAAAATACGTTATCGCCATCAGCGTTGATTAGATACGCACCTGCTGAGATCATAGCCGATTGCATAGCTGAGTTGATTGCACTATATGAGTAGTATCCGCTCGGAAGTGTGATCTGTACAGTACTGTAGGTGTTTCCTGTGGGCATTGAAAGCTTGAAGCTATTGTTTCCATATGCTGATGCATCGATATTGAATTGACTGTTGTACATGTTGATTGAGTGAATAGCCAATTCGCTGTTAGTAAAATTAACGCTGCTGCCAGGGAACTCATAGCGGAGGGTGTTGTTGTAACCGTTAGAGACGATGTGCTGCGAGCTGAGAGTGATTATGTTTGACATGGTTGATTATATGTCAATATTTATAATATTCGGTCGATATTAATTATTACCCTGGTAGAGCCTTTGGCGAGAGGCGCGAGCCTCTCGCCAAAGGCTAATCTAGATAGATCGGCTTCTCGTTGAAATTATACCTTAGAACACTTCTAACGTTATCTACGAGCAATGCTTGACCTTTTTCTCTAGTGGCCGCATTGTAGGCTCGAATTAGCTGCTCGAGCGTAAGATCGGGAAGACTGAAATCAGAGATGACCATCTTTAGATCGCGTCGGCTGTTTGCTATCAGAATCCAGAGGTACTCTGAATTCAATCTGGTTAGCTTGTCAGTAGCAAACCATGAATGCGTCAGGAACAGCGTAGATAGCCGCTTCTGGCGCCCTCTGATGAAGTAATGACTGAATAGATCTTTTTGGAGCTTCTTGTCCGAGCTGTAGTCATCAATGATAACGAGCTGAATGCCACCTCGCGGGTCCTTCTGGATATCATCGACGCTTGGCGGTGTCGATGGGACATATACTGTGATATAGCCCGCAGGTTTCTCCTTCATATAATTGTACAAATCCTGGTCTGGGTTGCGTGCAATCAGATGCAGATGGCTAAAAACGTTTGGTGCGTTCTTGACGATGTGATAGCATAGATTCGTCTTACCGGCGTTGCTGGGAGCTAGGATGATTCCGCGGAAGAGCTTTTTAATCCCGAGTTGCTTCATATCGCCGAGAGAGTCTGAGCGGAACTCTTTCGGGAGAGCGGCTCCCCAGTTATCAATCCTATTAACCATTGTGGAAAGTATATATATCTAGTGATATATAACTCGCCAACAAAAATGGGTTTCACAGCTCGGCCACCATCTCAAGAATCGAATATTTTTAACCCAACCTTCTATGCGGTAGGCACAGATGTTCTAAGCCTTGAAATGGCTGATTCATTGTATCTCAGTAAGACTGACTCTCGGTTGAGTTATCTCAGCTCGATCACGATGGGAGTGGCTAGTCTGATGTCAGCCCTGGTGCTTGATATCAATCTTGATATAACAGGTATCAATTCGATCAGTTGCAGCTCATTGAAGCTGAATGGTTCAACTGTTGATCTCAGCAGCCTATCTCTACTGAGCGCGCCGGCTGGAACAGCTCAAAACAACAAGGCTCTCATCCTTGGAGCTTCTGGATAAATTGGAACGATCTCCAGCTTGACCGCAACAAGCATTACAGGTACTCTACAGACCGCGGCTCAGCCTAATATCACATCTATTGGTACGCTAGCATCGCTGGTAGTTTCCGGAGGAATCACTGGTACTATACAGACCGCTGCTCAGCCAAATATTACATCTGTAGGTACATTGCAATCTCTCTTTTACCGGTGCGAGCCGAACGCTGACGGGGCTCAATTCAATTGACGCAGCATCGATTTCAGGCACGCTACAGACCGCGGCTCAGCCTAATATCACTTCTGTCGGAACTCTAAGTTCGTTGAGTATAATTTCTGTTTTTGGCAAAGGATTGGTCATTCAGAATGATAGTACTACATCGACAGCCAGTCTCAATATCGTGAGCTAGTATCAGATGGAGCAAGGCATACGAGGATCGGCTAATGCCATCTTGCCCAATACTTACTTTTGGTGTTTCGCAAATACCGATCGGCTGCTGATGGACATCAACGGCAATATGGCTATTGGTCAAGCTAGTATTAATACGGCATACAAACTCGATGTAGCTGGTGCTATCCGCGGAACTAGCTTCATTCAAGACTCTACTACTTACGATTTATCGTTGATTCCTCGATTATCACTAAGTACTCTAGGAACGGTTGAGGCAAGCAAGGCGCTTGTGGCTGATGCTTCATATGGTATTACCGGATTGAGATCCCTCTCAGTAGTTGGATCGGGTCTCTCGAAGTCTCTCGTTGTTCAAAATGATAACATGTCAGCGGCAGCTAGTCTACACTTCGTTTCGTATTATCAATGCGAAATGGGCGGTCGCGGGTCAGCAAATACTTCTGTATCAAATCAGCTCTTTCTCAAATACGGTCTATCAGACCGTCTGATTATGGTTAATAACGGTAATATCAATATCGGCGGAAGTTCAATTAATACCAGCTACAAGCTTGATGTGGCAGGTGCTTTCAATTGCTCATCGCTTACGATCGGAGGAGTCGCTATTTCACCACAAACGAGTATTCTATCGATAACGCCTGGGCCGATCTTTTCAAGTACAACGAGGGCAAGCGATTTCAATCTAATCATTTTGAATCAGAGCAATACAGCAGAAGCTCAGGCCGCGATTAGCTTTACTGTCGAAGGCACTAGCGATTTAAGTACTTTCACGCCTTCTGTGAATTTATATTGCGCAAGAACGGCTAATTCAACAACGCAGTACAGCATGGCTGACTTCGCTATCTCTACACGGTCAGGAGCTAACGCATTATCGCCGATGACTGAACGCATGCGTATCACTCAGGCAGGTTACATCCGTTTTGGATCATCTACATCAACCGCAAAAATGGATATCACATCAAGCGCTAATCTACTATCCGGTAGCTGGCAGCGCGCGATGCGCATAGCTAATGATCAATCGACCACTATCGAATTCGAGGTACAGATCTACAACGATGTTGCTGGCGGATCTAACGGCGTTGCTCTAGGAACTACTACGAGCGATCCCCTCCGGTTCATGGTTGTAAACTCAACACAAGCTTATCTCAACAGCTCAGGACGGTCGGGGGTTGGTATAAGCGCTTGGTCGCCTGAAGCAACCATTCACTCTGGAGGAGAGGTCTGGACAAACAATTTCATGCACGTGAAGGGAAGCGGCGATGGTTTCGCGCGGTATCGATTCAATTGGTCTCAGACGGACTATCCAGCAATCGGCACTGATTCTACTGTTGGTGCTATTAGATTGGGGAAATACGATGCTAATTGTACTTGGACGGCGTATGTGGCAGTTCGAGGTGGAGCATATACAAATGCAAGTGATCGTCGGCTTAAAACGGATATCATCGATCTACAATACGGACTTGATGCGGTCATGAGCATGCGCCCCAGGCGATTCAAAATGATTCAGGAGCAAACAACCCACGTTGGCTTTATCGCCCAGGAAATGCATGAGGTCATCCCTGATGCCGTTTATATCGGCGCCAATGATGATGTAAATCAAGAAGGGTTTCCAATTAACCCATGGGGCATTGATCTAGCTAGTCTGACATCGGTTTTAGCGCGAGCGATCCAAGAGCAACAAGGTCAAATCGAGGAGCTAAAAACAAAGAGCTTGCTCAGCTTAGAGCTTAAACGTGCGGCTTTTTTTGGGGTTCAGAGTATGTCCAAACGCTACCACCCGGTTTGGAGGCCTTAAACGCGCTATCAGCGATAGTCGGGTCTTTCACTACCAGCTTATCCATGAGCGATTTCAGCTCCTTTAGGTTGCTTCTCGCTTCGCGCTGGTACGCGTTCTTCGTGTCGACGAGTCTAGTATTGATGAATATCATGATATTTCTATACAATAGCAACCAAACCTCCTTGAATTCGTTATCCGAAATTAGCTTTGCTGTGTACATGTCAATCAATACCTGCTTGAGTTCGCGGATCAGGCTCGGGTGGTTATTGCCAAGCATCACTTCTCCCCTCAGTTTGATGTACTCTTGCTTGAGTACCTCGCGAGGATCCTTGATGGGATCACGTAGCGCATGCTGGGTATGCGTAATGCGCAGGAGCTCGTGGAATACTCGTCGATCATCCACGGACATCGAGTCGTAGAGCTGTTGATCGATGTTGCCATCGAATACCAAGGTCTTGATTAGCTTTGTTAGGTCATCGCTGATCTTGCGCTGAGGACCGACTGTCGAGCGGTTCGGGTATACAACCTTGAGGAGACCGTCATTGAGCTTTGGTAGATGCACAAACTTGGTACCAATCCGCTTGTATGCAAGAGCAGAAGCAGATCCCGAGCCCTCTAGCTGCGCGAGCTTGTATCCTCGGTTAGAGTGATATTTGATCGGATTACCATCACGGTCTCGAAGATCTTGCATGCGCTTGACGTATCCGGCGCCTCGTAATCCTCGACCACTGACAGCAGCTGGTTTCATCTCCAGATCCTCCATCCGCATTGGTTCATCGCGATCAACTGCAAAGCCATAATATGATAGCGTTGCTTTGACCTCTCTGAGATTGCTTTTGAAACGATGTTCATCGATCTTGTCCGGATGAGTTTCATACAAATCGATAACAGTGTATAGGTAGTAAATAAGATCCTCAAACGTAGCTAACCAGCTAATATTCAATTTTTTTATTGCAGCATCGGTAAGGCGCGTGTTGTTGCTAGAAGCGTTTGGCGGAGTCTTCATTTTGTAAACATCCGCGCTAGCATCTATACCCGTCGGTGGAATATGGATTCTAACGAGCCACGGATTGCGCTGATAGATATTTTGAACGTTCTTACGAACGTTGCCTCCCGACTCCATCATTAGTTCGTTAGGAGCTCCTACTCTACTCAACTCCATCATATTCTGACGCTTGGTTTGAATATCGATGCCAGAGACAGTACTATCCTCTAGCGGGCGTTTCGGCGGGCCGAAATTGTTCAAAGCTTGCGTTTTATAAATATCCAACGCTCTTCGTTGATTTTGCTTATCGATTAGCTGGCTCATTCGATTGAGAGCAGATTGCTTGCATTCGTCAGCAGATGCCTCTGCAGCGGGTCGTTCGCCTGGGAAAGCAACCATTCCATCGAGAGCACTGGTATCGACATTCTTAGGCATCAAACCCTTGGCTGTCAACTGTTCTTCAACCCAGTGCATGGTTGCTACCCAATCGACCTCTGAGAATAACTCTCTCACACGATTTTCGGGAACTACCTTTTGATCGCGCACTGTGAAGAATGACATGTCTTTCCCGATGAAGTAAGTAGATTGACGTTTTTTAGAAATAGCGTGAAAAATCGGTGGAATGTTACATGCTTGAATCTCAGGATACTTTTGAAACAGATATTTTAGCCTATTGGATGCCAACGACTGATCCGTTGTCGTGGAGGGAGGACTGGGAGGAGCTGGCATTGCTGGTGAAGCACTCAACGCAGCATCGACACGCATTTGATCAGATTCGGAGAAGGCCCCTGGTTCCACAACTGTATCAGCGGATGCCTCGGACGGAGTAGCGCTCACTGGCGTAGTAGCGGTTTCTACAGAAGCAGCGGGCGCTGCTTGCGTACCATCGGTTTGCGTGCTGACTCCATAAGTAGTTCTGGCGACAGGGATAGTACTCGTTTCGTTATCAGCTGCCCATAAGGTCTCTGCATATCTCTGCGATAGATGCCTATCGATAGCGAGCTCGCGTTCAGCCTCGCGCAGTAGCTCCTGGCGCTTGCGCTCTCGCTCAGATAGGCTATTGAATGATGGGAACATCGTTCTTTTATAGTCTATCTGATATCGTTTTGGCAAAAAAATATTAATTCTTGCGATCAGTAGGTATTTCGCAAGAATTACTTCTTTTTGGACTCTACCAGGGTATTGAAAATTTATCGCTATCTATTATATATACCCAATCACATAAATTTACGATGGACGATATTGAATATATCGATTCAGAAGACCTAGATACAACTGGAGTCTATGACAATAGCCGTATCGAGGAAGAAGCAGAGACTGAAGCACAACAAATTGCTGAACTCGCGAGGAGAATCATGGTTGCAAAATCCGAGCTCAAGCGATTGCGAACAGCCGAGTTCGTGGAACCGGTCCAGAAGAGCAAATGGATGAATCTATCAAGCCTCAACTTGCAGCTTCGCGCCAGTACTTCTTCTCGAGGGTGCTCATTTGGTTCTTGTTGATCAAGCGTAGATTATCCTGAGACTCCCACGACGGATCGTCATATCCCTTCCATTTGATGAAGTATTTGTATTTGCCGCTGCGCGTTTTTTTATGGTCCAATATCCGCTCTACCTCCCAAAATTGATTGACTCGGTCATCGAGCGTGGTATCAGATGGATTTGCATTGACTATTTTTAGCTCATTTGGGCCTCTGAAGAGAATATGGTTGTTCTTTGATCTGATGCGAATTTTCAATCCATCGAAACCAACTACTTCATAAGATGTTCTACTCCATCTGGCTCCTTCCTTATCGAAAGGTGCTTTTGCTTTTAAGCGATATCTCACTATCGATCCTGGTGGGATATCGGTATTAATTTTTTAACGAGGCGTTTGTTGTACTCAACATCATCTAGCATTACTCTCCCTCTCATTTCTGAAGGTGTTGCGTTGATCGCTGAATGATAAGTGTTATTGTAATTAGCGATTGCCTCATTTAAGATCGACTGTGTTAGTTTCTTGGATTTGATAATTTCCTTCATTTTGGTCAGCTTGGATTTGATTGTTCGTATGAAACGATCGATTTTCCCGAGAACAGTGTGGTCGCCAGCAATCGAATTACCATGCCTAATAGAGCGCTCATCAAAGAATGATTCAACAGATTTATTGATAAACTCGCTGCCATTGTCAGAAAATATGGCTGAAACTTCATTTTTATCAACAAACTCTTCAATCGCATTAAGAACAGTATCTGCTCGTTTGTTCTTCAATAGCTTAGCAAAACCAATTCTGCTATTGATATTCACTGAAATGAGGATTGGTTGCTTCTCCCAGAATGCTAAATCTCATTGCCATTCGTAGGGGTTGTTGGATGCAATTTTGAACTGAGTAAATCTCTTGCTTCGAGACGAGAACTGTTGAATACTATGCTGCTTCTTGTACCATTCAGATACTTGTTTCTTAGTGATTTTTTTATCAAATGCTTTTGCCTTACGATAGAGCTTGTCAGCTCCAATAAAGCCTGTTTTAGGGTCAAAATACACTTTTTTAAGTAGTGAGTCCATGGCTGTGAGTAAGCTCTGCTCTATATTTACACGAATGAAACACAGCGTGTAAAATTCGAACGCTTAGACACTGATTGTGTCTTAGAGTTGATGTTAATCGAGCACAGCTCGGTTAAATCGAAGGATACTGATTCACCATTGAATAGCTTAATGTATGTTGCGTATGTATCTCCCTCGAGTAGCTTACTGGGAATGCCTTTACATCTAATATGAAGACCTGTCGCATCGTTGCTATCGCAGGCAAGAACGTCAAGGTAGCCCTTCTTGCCAAGAATGATTGACTCCTTGGCGAAGAAGTTGCCCTCCGATCCAGCAAGATCGAAATCTACGTGGAATTGACCCATTTGCTTGCCAATTAACTCACTATTGTACGTGCATCTGCTAGACGCGGAACACTAACGTAGTCGATGTGCATGGAATCAGTGTCTTGATACCATATGTTCGCATTGATGTCTTCTGCCAAACACATGACTCTGTTCATGATATGCTTGGATGAATCGAGAATCTGGATACCGAGATGAATCGGACTGAAATGCTGACTCAGAGCCTTGTGCTCTTCAAACATAACTAGATTATCGCTGATTGGCGTTCTCGAAATGATTCGATGAATGTTCTTGCGAGTGTATGCATCGATCTTCTTATCGCCGCCACTAACGAAAACCTTCTTCTTCACGATCGGCTTCATCAGGAGCTTGCCGTACGAGCTGTTCATCATCAGCTTGAGGACCTCTTGAAGCGGATTGCCTTCTGCTTTGTACTTGAGACGAGCGTTGAACATCTTTCGGATGGTCTTGGTGATCTGGTCGTTGAAACCTTTGTTCCAATAGATACCCTCGATCACCGTGTATTTGGCTCCTTGGAAACGAACAATGTCTTCGAGAGCCTGCTTACAATCCTGATTTGGCCGACAATATCATTAGTGAAATTGCGAGATCCGTTCTCATAGAAACTCAGTAGAGGAAAGTGGCGTTTGATATCAATAGACTCAAAGCGGACACGAGCCACGTAGTAGTCCGCATCAGAAGGGATCGAATCCCTGAAAAGCTTTCCCTTGCCTCTGACATAGCCCGGGAGCTCACTCGTAGCAGATGGATATAGAGATACCGCATCGAAGTCAGCTAGCTTGTGCTTCAGGTGATATTTGCCGTTATCGCGGGCCATCGCTCGCCCACCAACGGTTCCTTGGCGTAAGAAGCCTAGGAGCACCGAATTCATTTCATAGCAGTCATCGAAGCAGCCCTCGTTGTGTTGATATACGAGAGAGAGATGATACACTGAGGAATCGATAGATGTCAAGATCGAACGCCTCCTTCACCAGGGCACGGAAAGCTTCGAAACATACTCTAAGTACATCAACATCGCGATTGCAGTAGTCAGTAGCATACATCTCGCAGTCTAACTTATCATCAACGATAGCTCCTATCTTAAAAGCATTATCGATGAGGGTGTCCTTGTTGTTGTATGAATCAAGATACTCGAGAGGCCAGAGGGATCTAAAGTTGCTCTCGTTGATCAAAGCATGAGGGAAGCACTCCTTCTCAAGAGATAAAGACGACGACGCGTCCTTGAACATCTTAGGGAGTCTAGCTAACCCTCCAGCAAGGAAGGACATCGAATCCTTAATAATAATCTCACGTCCTTTATAGAAGCCGTGAGCTTGCTTGATCTTAGAGCCGCAATCAATCATATTAGTATCCTTAGACTTGTAGCTCATATGTTTTAGCAGGAAACGAGCATCGAAGCCAGCGTTGTAAGCCCAGAGGAGATTCTTGCTGTTGGACGGAAGTGATTCTAAGAATTGCTTCTCGCAGCCAAAGCCATAGATGTTCCTCGTCTCACTGAATGTCTGAGAAGATGGAAATTTTTCGTTGAACTCTGAAATGCTATATGATACGCAGTATGGAACATGAATACCGTTGATAACCAGGGTCTCGAAGTCGAAGTAGATCACGTTGTATTTTCGGACATCATAGAACTCACGCGTCTTTCTGTTGAAGGCTCAAAATACAGCCTCACCCAGCTTAATCTCTTTTCCTGGGACGCGACCCATGACTCTGAAGTTGCAATCACTGAAGTCTCCCTCATCCAGTGAGCGCACCTCTTGGTATTTGTTGTTGAGAAGATTAGGCATATTTTGCTGCGTGATAGACGACAGGAGAGTCTCGCGGTGGTGGTATAGATAGCTAACGACCCCATAGCTGTCGAGGAAAGAGATTTTTTATCGTTGAAAACAACCCTCCCTCCCTTGATTCGGAAATCAGTTCGTCCATGCTCGGCAACTAGCTCGGGGTTGTCGAGGGCACCTTTGGTGATGTTGGTCGGCGCAATAGCAAATAGATGCTCACCAACAGGACCGAGGATAAACATCGGGTTGCATTTATCGCCATAGATCGTTGTGTCGTTATTGCATCTGTCAGTCTTCTGATTGACACGTAATTGTCTAACAGAGATGCAAATGTTGAAAGCCTTGGCGGTTTTCCGAATGAAATCAACAGTAGCTCCCGAGTTGAACATTGTCTGTGAGATCTGCTTCACAAGATCTGGGTTTGCTCCTGCCTTGTATAGCGCGAACAGAAAGCACGGATAGTTAGCTGCCTCGTCGTCGTTGCTCTCGCCCGGTACGAAGCTGTCGTCGTTGTATTCATCTTCAATCAAGAAGTCATCTGAATACACTTGGAATGCCTCTAGATTGTAGTCGGCCTTCGTCAGATATCGAAAGAAATTCTTGCGCTCTGATCAAGATCGCTTAGGATTTGGTAGCCATTCAGTCTCAATGGTCGTTGTAGGTAGAATATTCAATTCAACGTCAGCTCCCGAGCTATATTGATTCTCCTCGTCAATGAAAAGATTGTTGATATTTACAACGCGATCGTTGAGGTGGTATGACTTCGCGATTCTACCATCCGAACCCTTGATATGAATTAGCAACTTCTTATCAGCTGGCGATGCAATCTGCTTCCGAATGCGATTGAAGCGACTAGCGAAACGTTGACCTTTCCGGTTGTAGTGTTGATGACTTTGAGAGTTGATTGATCATTGTTAAGCTTCGATGACTTGAAAGCCTTGACGATAGTCATAGCTTTCTTGCTCTTAAACGCATTGACAATTTCCTCCATCTTCTTTGTCTTCATATCCCAATGGATAGTCAGATTCTTACTCTTTGCGACCCGGTATAGGTCGCTACGGTGCTTTTGAGCTTTCTTAAGGGCTGATGAGATTGGC